TCTACCACCATCGCTTGGGTCACCCCAACTTCCGTACGCTTGCCGACATCGCTTCCAAGAAACTTCTTCTTGGCCTCCCGTCGGCGCTTCCTCCACCAACAGACTCACCTGCACCCACCTGCCTGGACTGCACCAAGAGCAAGCTCAGGCAGCAGCCGCACCCTTCCTCCCTATCCGTCGCAGCTGCTCCGCTGGACCTAGTGCACATGGATGTCTGGGGCCCAGCTCCAGTCGCATCCCGAGGCGATCATCGGTACTTTCTTACACTAGTCGATAACCACTCGCGGTATGTTTCTGTGCACCTCCTTTATACCAAGGCGGAGGCACCTGACCTCATCATAGCATGGGTGCGCCAGGCTCAAGTCACGTTCGGCACTCCTCTGAAGTGCCTCCATTCTGATGGCGGGGGAGAATTTTGCAATGGCAAACTCGATAACTTTCTGCGTAGCCCAAGGGATTCGGCGAACCTTCACGCTCCCTGAAAGCCTACAGCAGAACGGCATTGCAGAGAGTCGCAACCACACATTGGTTCAAATCGCTCGCTGCCTCCTCAGTCACACCAACGCACCACGGTCATTCTGGGGATATGCCCTCTTCCATGCGGCTTTCATCAACAATCTTTATCCGCATCCTCACCGGCCCGACACCACACCTACCACTCTCTGGCTTGGGGCCACGCCTTCCGCCCGCTCTCTATACGTCTACGGGTGTACCGCATATGTGTTGCTTAGCCCCCACATGCGCAGGAAGCAAGGTATCAAGCTTGGTCCCAAAACCTAGACCTGCATTTACCTGGGGCACAACTCCGACTCCCCAGGTTACTTATTCCCCAACCCCATCACCAGACAGCCGATTCACAACCGTGATGTCGTCTTCGATGAGACACGCCCCTTCCACTCAGCGACCACGGGCGAGCCTCCTCCACCTCCCCCGACGCTTGTATGGGCAGACTTCGATGCCCCACCTCCGGCCGTTGCCCCTTCTCCGGGGCCTTCTCCGTCAGGCGTGTCTCACCCGGCCTCCCCGGTATCCTCCGCAGCGGCACCTCCTCCTGCTCCGCCTTCCCCGCGCGTCGGGCCCGGCTCACCAGTTTCCTACCAAAAGCGCCCATTTCCTCCGGTCCCACCGCACCCGCCTTTGTCTCCGGTCTCTAGTCGCACTCGTTCCAAGGGACCGGCTCCGCCTCTCGCATGGGGACCAGCCGCCTTCTCCATCCGGTGTTCGGTCACCCCACCTCCTCCTACCAGGGGTGATGTCCCCTCCATCCATATTCCACCCTGTGCACTTCTGGAGGACAGGCATGAGGAGCTGCTTGACCTTCACGCGGTGTGCCAATTTCTCTCTCACATCTTCCCGGACATTACTGACTGTGTCACAGGATCGAATGTGTCGAGTAAATGTTGCACTATCGATTGATACAAGACGCTTTTATACTTCCAAAGTACATCAGGTAACCAGGTCTATCCTATCGCTAGGGATTAGACAATTCTAGAAAATAGAATCACCCTGCGTATAGCCATGCTAGGCTATTGGCTTTAAAGGATTACGACAGGATTACGCTAGATATAGCGTGCTAGTACATCTCGAGCCTGGTTGGTGATATAATGATAATAACAGGATAAACCAAAGGTTTATGGAAAAGGAGGAATAGGAATCCAAATGGAATGAGATAAAGACCAAACAAATCAGGATAAAAATAGGAATGAAATGGAAAGGGAAGATGGAAAGGAGAAAGAAATGGAACGGGGTTGTACTCTCACAGATTGCCCTTCCCTCAACTTCACTGAGAACCCGACCATTCCGACTCCTCGCACAAAAGAGGAAGCTCTCTCGGGGCCTTATAGGAAGGAGTGGAAGGCAGCAATTGATGTGGAGAACGAGGCGTTCATTCGCAATAACAGCTTTGACGATGTCGTTCCCCCTTCCGGTGTTAACATCGTCGGCGGAAAATGGATCTTCCGAGTCAAACAACTCCCAGACGAAGCTCCACTGTTCAAGGCACGATACGTAGCGAAGGGTTTCACCCAGAAAGAGTATCTCGACTTCTTCGAAACCTTCTCACCCACGGCCAAGCTCCCAACTGTGCGCGCTCTTCTTGATATAGCCGCTCGCGGCAACTTCGAGATCAAGTCCATGGATGCCTCCTCCGCCTTTCTCCAAGGCCAGCTCAAGGAGGATATTCACATGGAACGCCCACCAGGGTTTCCTGGCACTTACCCTGCCAACACAGTGTGGAAGCTGAAGCGCCCAGTGTATGGCCTCAAGCAGGCTCCTTGTGAGTGGCACAACATGGTGAAGGAAGTCCTCCTTGCAAGGAACTTCCATCCCTCCGCCTCAGATTCTAGTCTCTTCATTCGTCACTCCTCCGAGCCCTTCTACATCCTCGTCCACGTCGACGACTTCATTCTAGTCGTCAGTGATGCAGCCGAGATAGCAGCTGTCCAGTTTGCTCTCAGCTCCGCCCTTCTCATAAAGGATCTTGGTGACCTCAAGAACTACCTGGGGATGGAGATCACCCTCTCCCAGGAGTCCTACATCGACAACCTTCTCAAGCGTTTTGACATGGACTCCAGTAACTCTGCCTCCACTCCACTTCCACTACAGCATCAGCTCACGGCCCCTCCGATTCCTTCTCCTGTCGCCTGCAAGGACCCGTACCCTGAGCTAGTCGGTTCACTCATGTATGCTATGATGTGCACTTGGCCAGACTTGGCATACCCGGTTAGTGTCCTCTCTCGGTATGTCTCCCCCGGACGCTACACTGCCTCCCATTGGTCTGCAGCTAAGAGGGTCCTGCGCTATCTACAAGCCACCAAGTCTCACATCATCACTCTCGGTGGTACCTCTCCAGTCAAGCTCAAGGGATGCACAGACTCCTCATGAGCCGATGACCAGACTGATAGACGCTCCTCCCAATGGTAATGCTTCACCCTTGGTAGCGGAGTCATCAGCTGGCGCTCCACTCGGTCCTCTGCAGTCTCCCTGTTGTCCTGCGAGGCCGAGCTCTATGCACGCACAATGGCTGCTCAAGAGGCACGCTGGCTCTCCTTTCTCCTCGCAGAGTTAGGCCACCCCCAACATTCGCCCACCCTGTGGTGTGACAACGAGAGCATCATTCACCTCACCAAGGATGCTGTGTTCCACTCTCGCACCAAGCACATCGAACTTCGTCATTTCTTCATCCGAGATCTTGTTCAGAGTGACCAGCTAACGGTACAGTACATCGCGTCAGATTGCAACCTCGCCGACCTCTTTACCAAGGCTCTCGGCAAGGCTGACCATCATCGCCTTCTCCGTTCCATGGGGCTATATGCTCATTGACCGGGTTTGCAGTCTATGGGGGTGTGTTAGAAATAGATTGCAAATCCCACTTTTGTATTTGTACTTTTATATCCTAGTTTAGGTTATGAATGTTCTAGTGGGTTGGGGTGTACTCACAAATCCCAACCTCACCCAATTGTGATCCCCCCAATCTCCAATTACCCAATTGGAGATTCTGGAGATCCCTATGGGGATTCCCCCCGATTCCCCCTTCATCCATTCTCTCTCACCTTGCCATGTACTTATAGAGTCTTGGGCTCCTTACCTAATCAATCATTTCAGCTCCATTTTTTACATGCAGCTGCTGCTGCTGTTGCTGCTGCTCCGCGGCACCAGCCCCGGTCCCCTCGTTTGAACCACCGCCCCCGCCCCCACCTCCTCCAGCCTCCCCACCCCCACCCCCCTTCCCTTGGGGCGGTGGCTCCTACCCGGACGCGGCTGTGCTAAGGCCACAGCGGTGGTCTTAGCAACAACGGCAGAGACATCATAGTAAGAGCACTGGAAGGGAGCACAGCCCTGAAAGATATGGACCGGCGCAGTACCACTAGACTGAGCGATAGTGCGCTGGCGGGTCTCTATCGCAGAGAGGGTGGTGAGAAAGGCGGGGAGGGTGAGGTCACCCGGGTGCTGACTAAGGAAGTGATCGCGGACAGTGGCTAGGCGGTCGGGGAGGCGCGTGGCAATGAGGTAAAGGGTAGCGCAGAGCGGCGGCGGAAAGGCAGTGAGCTGAGCCTCAGTGCTAGCGGCGTGGTAGCTAGTCTCAAGTGTGCGGAGGTGAGTGGCAAGATCGGCGACAGTAGGGATGGACGCAAGATCAGAGAATAGCATGAGAAGGATCAGGCGGCCAGCAGAGGATGAGGCGGCGGTGGAATAGCGCGTGATGACTGCATCTAAGAATTCCTGGGCGTTTGCTACAGTGGTTAAGCGGGGACGCTCAGACAGGGGAAGTTCGTAACTAATAGCAAACTGCTGCTACTGAGTATGGGGGTCCTAGATTTAGGGGGTGTGTGTGGCTTAGTGTCCCGTTCGTGGTGTGCTTTCGGCTACCAAGCCTAGGGGGTGTGTTAAATTATATTTTTGATCTATAATTGGTAGGCCTGGCAGGTGTTACTGAAACCTACTGTAGAGGGTACAACCCCTCTCCTTGTATCACTCTCTCTTCTATTCTCGACCTCTTTTCTCTCGTCAACTTCCTCTCCTAGCTAAACCCTCATGCCTTCCATGGCTTCCTAGTGTCCTTAGCTTCACAGTGAGTTCTGCTTCTGACGGGCACGAAGCGAGAAGCCTCGGTATTACCTGGACCCGTTCGGTAATTTGTACAGTGTTTCAAGAGAATTTATGAGGGGGCTTACAAGGTACATGTTCTGAAAAAAATAAGGGGGGCCTATAATTGAATAATGCCTATAAGTACCAATGCACGATTTAGAGCCCATGGGACTAATCCTACGGAGGGGCGTCTATCCGGGTGATTACGGTAGCATGATTAAGATGCTATTTGCAGCCATGCAAGTTATTTGAATGTTTCCAGATATTGTACAATGATGTATTGCGCAAAGGAACTGAGTTTCAACTATTAAATTTGAAGGATATCCCATATGAATGCATTGACACGACAATACTATTGTTCTTTAAAAATTGCAGTGTTCATATTTTACTTTTACTTTTAATCACTTCCTCACTCTTCTCCATGTAATTTTGGTGTATGTGGACGATACTGAAGCAGCTCGTATTCGATGATTCGAAGTTGTGTTTGTGCGCAGTGTATCCCCTGGGATTGTCATGTCAACCGCCCCGCAGCCCCCATGGAACCGCTAGTTCCAGTGTCCGTGCAACTGTCAGCTGACGTAGGGCCGTCACATGCGCGCCTCAATTTCTCCGCGCCTCCAGACACAGTGCCCCCTCGATGACCGCGCCGTTCGCCCCACCTGACGCCCCGCGCGAGCGGGTGAAGCGAGTCAGCCGATGGACCCAGCGAGAAGCCGCAGAGCGGCCCGCCCCAGCGGAGCCTCCCAACAGTTCCGCGAAGGCACGGGCCGAAAAGCATACTCCCGATCCCGAGCGAGCGTTGCGTGTCGGTTTGGGCTTAAAGAAGGCTAGAGACGCAGTCGAATTTACCAGTTCCCGCGCTTTCCAATACTTTTAGAGCTCTATCGCCCCCACTGTCCCTCGCATCCTCGGCGCGAGAAACGGTGACGTCCAGCCCCGATCGTCCAGCCCCGATCGTCCAGCCTCGATCGACCAGCCCCGATCGTCCTTTTTGACTCCAGCGGTGATCGCGCGACGCTGATCGTCAGCGTTCATTCCGCCAGACACTCAGCTTCAGATATGGGGCTCTTTAAGTCGTTAGGGATGCTCTCCGTGCTGCTCGCGCTCCTCGCCCTCTCTCTGCCGCCCGCCCTCGCTCAACGCCCAGCAGCCCCGGCGCCCGCCCCAGCGGGCCCCTCGCCCGCACCCGCGCCCGCCCCGACGCCCTCGTCCGCGCCCTCGCCAGCGCCAGCGTCAGCGCCGTCCCCTGCCCCCGTGCCTGGCCCCAGCCCCGCTCCCACCCCCGCCCCTGTCCCCGCGCCCGCTCCCACTCCAGCATCGCCTCCTCCCCCAGTTGTCCCTCCGCCCCCGCCCAAGGCGACGTCTACAGGTAACTAGCAGCAAGTTGCAATTCGCAGAGTGGAAATTCCACGCCACCATTGATTGTGTTTCTAGCTGCTGCTGTTTCTTCACGCCCCTGACTCTTGCTGCTGCGTGTGGGTTGCTGTGATCCGTGTTGTGTGCTTGCAGGTGCCACGCTGTTCTCATCGCTGCTCCTCGTGGCCCCCCTCGTTGCGCTGGCCGTGTGAGCACGTGGAGTGGGCCGCTGTGATGCGAGGCCCCACAGCCATGGAGATGTACGGTAGAGAGGGAATGACAAGAAAAGAGAGAATCGCCATGGTCCCAGTGGGCTCAGTTGCACTCATTGCTAGGAATGGTAGTAGATTGACTGCTTGGATCAGTGTGCAGAGAAACATCTAGGATGATATTGCTTACTAGACTATTTAGTGATTTTAATTCGAAACTTTAAATGCCATACCTGGCTGGCGGTTGAACACAATGAACAAATAAAATAGCATACCTACCTAAAAACCTACACCGGCAGCCTTCTAGAAAGGCCATCAGGCACATGAGACACGCCTCAACACACACGGCACACTGCACACTACTGAAAATCACTCACACAACACACGCAACAGTGTCCCTATTCCGAGCCACATTCGCTTCATGACAGGTGAGCTGGGGTTGGGGCAAGATCAGCTTTTGAGTGAGGCGACATAGTTGTGGAAGTTGGCGGACTGCTTGGCGCTGTCAAGTGACCGGAACCGCATCAACCCCGTGGCGCGGCGCCGGCTGCTGCCGCGCGTGCTGCTGCCCTCCTCCCCAAACTTGCGGAACAGCAACTGCCCCTCCGGCCACTGCCCCGGCAAATCCGGCTGCAACCCCTGCTGCTGCTGCTGCTGCCCTGGCAGGCCCCCCAGAGGACTGCTGCCCAGCTCGCCCACTCCCCGCTGCCGCCTGTTCTCCCACACGTCCGCCATCCCACCCGCCCCTCCCCACGCGCCTGCTCCTCCCCCATCCCGGCTGGAGCCCTGCGACACGTTGCTGCTGGTGGATCCCGACTGCACGGGCGTTCCTATCGGCGACAGAAACCCTGCGCCTGGTGGAGTTGCTGGTGCTGCTGGTCTTGAAGCTGGCAATACTGCTGACAGTGCTGCTGCAGCTGCAGCTGGTGGCGGTGGTGGTGGTGGCGGTGGTGATGGTGATCGTATTGCCAATGCTGCTGCTGCTGGTGCTGATGGTGGTGCTGACAATGGCGATGACGATGGTGCGAGTGATTGTGATGATGATGGTGCGAGTGATTGTGATGATGATGGTGCGAGTGATTGTGATGATGATGGTGCGAGTGATTGTGATGACGATGGTGCGAGTGATTGTGATGATGATGGTGCTAGTGACTGTGATGATGATGGTGCTAGCGACTGTGACGATGATGGTGCTGGTGGTGCTCGAGGCGAAAGCAGGGATGGGGTGGTGGAGGAGTGGGGGTGGGGGAGGGGGAGGGGGAGCATCTGGAACATCGACGCTGCAGGCGCCAAAGACTGGCCCGTTACAGATCCTCTGCTTGGCGGAGGAAGGTCCCAGGAAGGCGCAGTGCGGGACTCTGTTTGTTCCCGAACCACAATCACAAACTCCTGCTGCTGCTGCTGCTGCTGCTGCTGCAGCTGCAGCTGCTGCTGCTCTGCCTGGATCGCCTGTGCTCCTGGCTGCTGCTGCTGCTGCTGCTGCTGCGGCTGCTGTGGCTGCACGGAGAGCCGGAGCTTGACTCGCGACCCGTCGGACCGGATGCCTGTGGCCCTGCGCATGTGCCCCACAAACGACTCCAGCCCTGCCAGCATCGCCAGAGGGAGATCCGAGGGCAAGGAAGGAGTGGTGGTGACAGCAATGAGAGGGCATGGGAAGCAGCGGGGCAGAGAGCAGTGAGGAGTCACACGGAGCCAAGGGATCAGACCAAGAGAAAGCAAAGGAATGAGAGCGAGAGTGAGGCAAGGAATCCGACCGAGGGTGAGGCAAGGAATCCGACCGAGGGTGAGGCAAGGAATCCGACCGAGGGTGAGGCAAGGAATCCGACCAAGGGTGATGCAAGGAATCACACCGAGGGTGAGGTAGTGCGGCGAGCCCTCGATGGAGTGGATGAAGGCCTTGACGTGCAGCGCGGCCATGGCGTCCGGGTGGCCGTGCTGCTCGTCCATGCCGAACATGCCGCACACCGCGCGGTTCATCGACGTCACGCGCCCGTCCCGCGCCACTGTCATCAGCCCGTCCTTCGCCACCTGAAAAGAAGTGGGGGGGACCAGGGGGGGGGGCGAGGTAGTGAGCTACGGGAGTGAGGGAAAGAGTGCGGCCTGGATGGGGAGAGAAAAGGCAGATGATGGAATGAAGGTATGCAGAGTGGCTTTTGAGTCGACTCAAAAGTCGGCCTGGATGGGGAGAGGAAAGGCAGATGATGGAATGAAGGTATGCAGAGTGGGCGGAGCGAGAGAAAACCACGTGCACTAGGGTGGGGGAGTGGGATGGGGGGGGGTGAGAGTTTACCCGGACAAGAACAAGTGCCAAAGAGTCACCTGAACGAGGGACAGCAGGCGCAGCTCCGCCTCGCGCTTGCGCTTCCTGTCCTGCACGGTGTGCAGCATCACGGCTGCGCTGGCCGTCAGCGGTTCCATCGCCTGCAGCAGCGCCGTGCTGTAGCCGCCCAGGCGGTTCGCCAAGGCATACATGCCGATCATCTCAGAGCCTGGGGCGGGCGGTGCATTGGTGACATTCACGATGGCTCATGAATCGACAAACGACATACATGCCAATCATCTCAGAGCCTGGGGGGCGTGGTGCATTGGTGACATTCATGAGCCATTCCTCAACAAACGAGCTGGCTTTTGAGTCGAATCAGAAGTCAGGGTTGACTCAAAAGTCAGGCGGTTGGCCACGGCATACATGCCGATCATCTCAGAGCCTGGGGCGGGCGGTGCATTCGTGACATTCGTGAGCCACTCATCAACAAACGCTGGTGAGATTGAGCCATTGATCAGTGGAGGATGCAGGGTAGCGGAAAAATGATAAAAGCCGGAGGGGGTGAGAGCGAGCGACTGACAGATGACGAAAGGGACGCCGAGGAAGGCGGAGAGCGGGGGGTGGTCCGGGGGCACGCCTCCCTTTTGAGTCGACCCAAAGGTAGCGGACAAATGATAAAAAGCCAGTGGAGGTGAGAGCGACTGACCGATGGCGAGGGGGACGCCAAGGAAGGCGGAGAGCGGGGGGTGGCCCGGGGGCACGCCGCCCGAGCGGGCGTCGTGGGCGGGGTGGTTAGAGATGACGGGCGCGGCGGAGAGCAGCGTGGCGCCCAGCAGGTTTGTGGTGTTGGTGAACACCAGCCCGCGGTGCGAGTTGTCGCGGTACCACGCCCGCAGCTCGTCCGTCCACGCGATGTTGGACGCTGCGTGCGACTGCCATGCCATGCCATGCACGCATGGGGCGGGATGCCACGAGCAGAGTGCAAGACGGCCATGGCCATACCGCACCATGAGACCACGCCATGGCAGAGTGTACGCCACGCCATGGCACGCCATGCACCACACCACACCATGCGAGAAGCACAAGCGTAAAGGGTAAGAGAGGTGGTCCTTGAAGGAGACGTGGTCCTTGCGAAAGCGGGGTGTGTCACCCCAGGGAAGGAAGAGGGGGTGGGGGGGTAAAGGGGGGGGTAAAGGGGGGGGTAAAGGGGGGGGGGGGGGTGTTACCTTGAGGTAGGGCGAGCCGTTGGCCTGGAAGAGCAGGGAGCCGATGAGGCCGAACTGCGAGCCGGTGATGTCCAGCAGCGCCGCCAGCAGGTGGTCGAACAGCCTCACCGCGCCCACCGACTGGTGCATGGCGATGCGAGGGAGCAGGGGGGAACAGACGGAAAAGCAGGAGCAAGAGGAGTGTTGAGTAACCGACAAGCCGGAGGGAGCTGATGAGGCCGAACTGCGAGCCGGTGATGTCCAGCAACGCCGCCAGCAGATGCTGGTGGTAGGGGAGAAATAGGGGAGTAGACGAGAAAAAACGAACGAGGCGGGTGAAGAAATAGATGCGCGGGTAATTCAGGTGAAACACATATGCCTGCAACATATGAAACACATCCATGGCATGGCGATTCACAGCACACCTGGTCGGACTGCAGCAGCATCTGCGCTGTGGTGATGGCGCTCAGCATCTTGCGCTCCATCGACGCTGCCCCCCTGCCCGCCTCTCTTCCATCCGCCTCCTCCCTGCCCGCCTCCCCACCACCACCACCCCTCACCGGACTCGCCTTGCTCCACTCCCCCTTCTCGCCCCCCTGCCCCGCCCAGCCGCCGCCCCCCGCTCGCACGGCCTCGGCGCCGGCTTGGCCCACGGCCTCGTAGCTGCGCGATCGTGGCATGGAGCGGCTGCTGTGGCTGTCACGTGCTGCTCCCGCACCTGCTGACCCCATGCCCATGGGGCAGCCCGACGCCGCCACAGGGCAACCAGACGCCCCTCCGCCCGCACTCGCCCCAGCAGAGCCGTGCGGGCTCTGCTGGCTACTGCTGCTGCTGTGCGCACTTCGTCCCCCCTCGCCCCTATACTCGCCTGGCCCACCCCCGAACGGGCTCTGCTCCCCCGCATGATGACTCACACTCCGCCCCACCTGCGCCAGGCCCTTCTTCCGCCCTCTCCGCCTCCTTCCCCCTAACCCACTCTCCCCCTTGTCGCCCTCTGCGCCAACCTTCCCCCCTTCCCCTTCCCCCTCCTCCCTGGTCGCCGCCAGCAGCTCAATCTCCCCCAGTCCCCCGCCTGAACCTCCGCCCTCAGCGCCCCCCTCCCCGTTCCCCCCGACCAGGTCCGCCCCCACTGCCATCATCTCCGCCAGCTGCGCTGCATCTGACCGCGCGCGCCTCAGCCCCCCAAGCCCGCCCAGCGCCCCCCTCAGCCTCCCGGACAGGCCCCTGTGCAGGCCGGTTCCGCCAGCTGCTGACGTGGACGAGAGGGTTGATGACGCGGATGCGGGGAGAGGCGGAGTGGAAGAGGGGCCGCTGGGGGCGGGGGCGCGGGAGGCGGAGTGGGTGCGCGGGATGGAAAAGCCCAGCGCAAACCGCTGGGCGCTCGAGGGCGGGCGGACATCCCCAGCCTCGCCTGCCGAACCAGACCACGTAGCTTTGAGCGGCCCCGAGCCTGGCTTCTCCGGACCAAGAACAGGCGAGCGGGAGGACTGGACAGACGCTGCATTGTCTGCTGACATGGCAGGGTCGGTCATTGCCGGGCGGGAGCGGGAGGGGGGGGGGAGCGGAATGGAGCCGGCGGAGGAGGACTGCAGTGGGTGGAGATCGAGCGCGGGGGAGGCGAAGGCAGCGGCGGCGGCGGAGAGCAGCGAGGAGGTCATGGCGGCCGTGGCGGTCACAGTGCGGCGCAGCGGCTGCGGCCGCATGCCCGCCCCGCCCGACCCACTGGATCCGCCAGCAGCGCCACTGCTCCCTCCGCTGGCTGCTGCAGCGGCAGAGACGGAAGCGAGAGAGAGCGCGTCTGTGCTCCGGCTGCTGCTGCCCTTGCGCCCCCACAGCTTGTACCCCGTCCGCGGCTCCGCTGCCTCCGCTGCTGCCATCCCCGCTCCCCCGCCCGCGCCCTCCCCTGCGTATCCCGCCAGCCCGCCACCGGGCACTGCCTGGTCCGCAGAAGCCACCTCGCCTGCGCGCGAGAGTGCGCCCGAGGGGCTGGCGGACGCCTTTGAGAGGGCCTCTGCGGTGCCGAACGAGCGCGCACGAGCGTCCAGGTTCGTGCCGAACGTGGGGGAAAGGGGCGGGAGGGCAGAGGCAGTGGCGGGAGACTGGCGGCTACTGACCGCGGGGGGGCGCCGGGGGGGATTGGCGGCGGTGCGGGGTGGGTGGGGGAAAGCGGAGGGCTGGGTGGAGCAGGAGGCGCGGGGAAAGACAAGGACGGGGCAGGCGGTATCGGCGCGGCGGGCGCAGCGGATGGCTCGTGCATCCCTAGGGCTTCGAAGACGGCTCTCAGGCGGTGCCGCCTGGTCCAGTCCTGGCGCTCGTTGCCGCACTTGGCGCACCTGCGGTGGGCCCCATGCGAGGGGAACGGAGGAGGGAAGACAATGCTTTGAAGGCGACTATGGAGGTGGGATCTCCCAGACGAGAAGAATTCGAGTGAGGGACTGACACGGAGCAGCCTGTCAAGGCCGCTCTTTGCGAACCGGCAACATTGTTACTGACACGGAAATAAGCAGGCGTAGTTTCTTAGGCGTGCTAATTCGTCCCCCTGCGGAGTCAACAAGACATTGTCCTCCAAAAAGCCATCGAAACGCCATCGAAACGAATCTCGCGAGCTCAATAGTTTACCGGCAGGCGGTGGTCATCCAGCCGCTTACCGCCACGCGGTGGTCACCCAGCCGCTTACCGCCACGCGGTGGTCATCCAGCCGCTTACCGCCACGCGGTGGTCATCCAGCCGCTTACCGCCACGCGGTGGTCATCCAGTCGCGGAACTCGAGCAGCTCCGCCTCCGACAGCCCCTCCACCGCCTCCAGCACCGACATTCCGCGCGCGCTCTCCTCCCCGCCCGCCTTCTCCCCCCCGACCAACCTGCCGCTCGCGGAAAAATGCTCATCCGCGCCAACGGCTGCGGACGATCTGGGGCTTTCAAGTAGGGAGTCTGGGTGGATGTCGACGGTCGCTGCTCCGTGCGGCACGAGCTGCCGCACCGCCTTGGACACATTGTTCCCCGATTCCGCCAACTGGCGCGACGTGAGTGGATGCCGGCGGGATGTAGATTGCTGCTGACCCATGGCTGTCGTTAGCGCTGGTGAAGTAGTCTAGGGAATGTACTTCGACGGTCGAAGGAAATAGAGTCCAGGCGCAATCCACATGGCTTATCTAACGTCGCGTTCTGATAGATGACGAAAAGGCTTAAACATTGATGCCTCCTAGCGACGCCAGCTGCACGCCCTAAAGTCGGAGGCTTGGAGAAATTCAACACAAGCTAACAGCTGGAAGAGGATGATGACCTACTGTAGCATGCAGGCCTCTCGTCATCGATTGCAGCATGGCAGCTCACTGAAGTTGGATGACGCGAGCCCAATCCGTACAACTGTCACCTCCATAAGAGCCGCAAAGAGCTGGTGGAGTGTGGGGGAAGGGATGGGAGATGGGGAAGACTTGGACGTGGGGGGGAGGGGAGGGTGTCTTTTGGGTTGACAATATGGGAATGATGGTGATGTGATGTTGGTCGAATAATAGGAAAGCATACAAATCTGTATGATATTCTGAAATTTGTTGGTCTGGGTGTATGCGGAATGACAATGACCATGGAATGCTTCCGTGATTGTAACGCAACTTCCACTTCGAAGGAGTTGTTTGGCTGCCACAAAATTTATTCCCGCAATTCCGCCCGCAAATCTTAGCCTTCCGCGCCACGCTCGCAAGCCCACTTTTCCGCCAACGCGGCAAAAGGTGAGTGGCGCTGGAGGAAGTTGTGGCTTCGGCGGTGGCAATATGGGGCCTCTCTGGCCGTCGGATCATGTCAGTCGCAGAGAACAGAACTCGCCGAGGAGGATTTCCCGTTGGCTAAGCCTTCCGGTCAGCTTGAACCGAATCGATGCAGAACCAATCATCTGCCCGGACTCGGATCATGGGGAGCACCTGCCAAAGTGGTGGGTTTTCTGTGTGGACCATTCTCTTCCAAGCTGGGGTTTCCCTTCCCAGCTCATGCTGGCGATACACCATGCCTGTGCCTGAGGAGTGTTCCTTTGAAAGGTAGCCTCGAGGCATGTTTTGAAGTTTTGCTAGTTTGGGAAATCAAGGAATCTTGGAGACCATCTTCTAGCGAGTTCCTGTATTTCTGTCCGACATAGCACTACTCCCTTCCTTAGTGTGCAGTGTCTACACAGAAACATCCTTAGGAGACACGTCGTCATGGTTGGAGCAGTCATAGGAGTTTCTAATCATCAAAGAGAGGCCATGGCGTGGAAGTGCAGGGACCCAGATTTCCATCACAAAGGATATCATGGGAAGTCTCAGAAGCTTGTGGGTGGACCTAGATATCAGAAGAGACACGAATCTGACCGAGTACCTGTAGCTCATAGCTCGCACGATTTTGAGCCAGCCGTGACGTCGAATAGCATCGAACCCGCGAGAATACCAAGTCGAAACTTGGGCAGTTTCATTGCTAACGTAACTCCGCGAGTGAAGCTTCACTATATTCACAAGGTACGTTCACGGTTGTTAAGAACCACTTCTTTATATGCCTTCGTCGACAGTTTCCCTGACGGTATTGTGTCGTTTTTTAGGAATCGGAACGGTTTTCGCACCCGGCGAGGCACGAAACTTCAGCATGTTGCGCGTTTTACACTTTGGGGGATCTGTGGGACTCCTTGGAGGAGTCGAGCGTGTTTGGGGCTGGAGTTCCTATTCAACTCGCTAATGGCACACATGCAACTCAATACTACGTGCCTTTCATCTCTGGTTTGCAACTATACGCTCGAAGCAGCTCCTGGCAGTTGCCTGAGTCGAGGTATGTAAGAATCTAGGGAGGTTGACGGAAATCTAAATGTTTTTCCCAGTTTTGTTCGTCTAGTAGCTCATGCCGTGAACCCTCTGTCGTACAGGAACAGTGGCCCCGAGAGTGACTGCAGCGACGTGGGTTTTCATGATTCCAGTAGTGACAGCAGCGAGAGCAGTGATAGGAACGATGGTCGGGCAGCTGATGGTGCATCGAAGGCAGTCGAGGGTTGTAGTGTGATAGACTCATCCGTCGATGGCTCATGGGGCTCGAAGGCGCATCCGTCGCAATCTCATATGATGGAAGAGCTTCTTTCAGGATTGGATGGTCAGAGTTCAGTGGATGAGTGTGGCGCCGTGTCGTGGGATGCGTGTCAAGACTGTAACGGGGGCCGTATGTTATTGGAGTATTTCGAAAGAGCACCTCCTCACGTGCGGTTGCCTCTGTTCTCGAAGGTATGTTTCGCTTACTTGGCTTTCTGGCTTGCTAGACTTTGGCTGGTGTCTTACATGTTTAGGCTCTCCACGGACATTGGTTGCAGGTGGAAGAGTTGGAGAGGGAGTTTCCCTGTCTCAGGCACCTCCGCAGCATCGATTTACATCCACGAAGCTGGATGGCTATCGCATGGTAAGAAAGAGTTCTTTTGATTAGGGTTCTGTCATAGTCTCCTTTTTCCTGGAATGCAACTTTATTCCCGTTCTGCATTTCATGACTTGCTCTGTGACATAGGTATCCACTGTACAAGATTCCAGCTGGGCCCAGTGTTCATGATCTTGGAGCATCATTTTTGACATTTCACAGTCTCTCTTCTCCAGGCCCATCGTTGTCAGGTGAAGCTTGTGTTGCCCTTTCATCGGCCTTCGTGAAAGCGCATTGAATGTCAGTTGCCAACATTCTGACTTCTGACATGCAATGCAGGTTCTTGTATTCGCTGCAATGATGAATATTGGATATCCCCAATGAAGCTCCCTCAGTCCTGCTTGTTCTCTCCTCCGCCAAGTGTGCCTGAAGCTGAGCATGATGATACCATGCACTGGGGCTGCGATTCGAGGCCATCAAGTTTTTCCTCCACAGCCTTGCCCCCTTTCGGTTTCACCGGTTATAAGGCACGTGGGAGCCTGTGGTCGGATAGGTGGTGCATACAGGGCCTCGAGGCAGCAGCAGATCAGTGGCTGAAGCACATAAATGCCAACTTACCGGACCATTCCTTCTTCTCCATGCAGCAGTACATTGGGCGCTAAGCTTCGGCTGGGTCTTTGATGCGCTTGCTAACATGATGATGGCTCCAGTCCAGTCCAGTCAAGGGCGCTGTTGCAGCTTCTTGTTATACATCTGGCTGTCAGGCTAGCTGCTGCCAGATCAATTTTGGTTCTAGTGTTAGTGGATAGCTGCAGCAACGTAGTGCTGTCTGCTGATTTTTGTATTGGATGGACCGTCGGACAGTGCCCTACCATCTAACTGAGTGTTGATTATTGTATCATGCCAGAAAATCGTAAGACTTGGATAAGTGCGATTTAGTGAATGCTAGGTAGTACACCTTGTATTATGTGAGGGCCCAGAACAAGACAATCCGAGTGTGCCTTTTGAGAGGATATCCGTGGTCCCCATTCGGTACAATCGTTGTCGACCAGAACAGGCCTCTAATTGGAACTGGCTATCTCAGTAGGACCAAGCTCATAGCGCTTCGAACCCCTGAGTATGCGTCTTCATTTATCGGCAAATTCGTGAGGGTGCTCCCTCCTCTCAGTGTTCGTTCTTATTCGGGTTACCGCTGACGCCATTATTACCGCTGGTAGGGTGAATCCCATCCGCGCTGTCTTGCCCTAAAAGAGAAGCATCGCCTTTTTTCGCTCCTTGTCGTCTTCCTTTGGCTTGCCGTAGGCACTGCGCTAGCCATTTCGTAGACTCCAGTTTCCCTAGTCTTTTTCTGCCGCATTCCTCCCCCTCCCCTCTCTCGTACCCCTTCCTTCCAGTCAGATTCCGTTATTTCACTCCAAAGCGTTTCCCCAGCGCGTGTGGCCGTCACGCATCAGCGCCGTCCGCTGCATGGCATGGCCGCATGACCTCATCCACTCCCACCCCCGACCCTCCCGCTCCCACGCCAAGTCCACCCGCGTCTCACCCATGCCACGTCAGTACGTGAGGACCTACCACGAGGCCCAGAGACCGCACCCCTCGCAGGGGTCTTCCGCCGTGCCTGTGACGGGCGGCGGCCGCGCCGCTGCAGCGGCCGCCCAGGGGGGCAGCGCGGAGCCCGCAAGGCCCGCGGCGGGCAATCTGGAGAGCTTCGTTGCGCATGTTACCCCGCACGTGAAACTGCAGTTCCTCCCCCAGGTACCACCTTCCCTTTCTCTTCCCCCGCGTTCCACCCTAAATATGTGGGCTGCATTTGCCTCCTTCCCCTCGCCTTTACTTGTCGTGGCTCCACACCCTATCTCCTCCTTCTGTTCCCCCCCCCCCTCTGCTGCCGCCGCATGACCCGTCACTCGCGCAGGACTGGGACGAGCACCACAGCGACAGACGTCACCCCAAGCAGCCCCGCGCAGCGACCCCCGCGCCGTTCTTCGCGCTGAGCGACGTGTGGGACGCGCTGGAGGAGTGCAGCGCGTACAGTGCCGCCGTGCCGCTGCTCCTCCCCTCGGGCGCACCCGCCACGCAGCACTACGCGCCCTCCATCTCCGGCCTCCAGCTCTTCTCCCGCCTCCCCGCCCCCTCTTCCCCCCACGCCCTGCGCCTGCACGCTCACAGCCCTCTGGAGCAGCAACCAAGCTTGGCTTCCTCTCTCCACTCCCCGCCGTCCCCCTGGGAGGGGTATTTAGAGGAGGGCGGCAACGGCACGTGCGAGGGAACTGTGGACTCGTGGTGCTGCGACTGCAGCGGGGGCCAGCCGCTGCTGGAGTTCTTTGAGCGCGCCCCGCCCCACTCCCGCCCGCCGCTCTTCGCCAAGGTGCCCTCTAGCGCCACACGCGGCACCGCCACTCTCCCTTTGTTGGCCTCTTTTACCCTCGTCGCTTCTGCTCTGCTCTGCTCTGCTCTGCTTTGCTCTGCTCTGCTCTGCTTTGCGCTGCTCTGCTCTGCTCTGCTCTGCTCTGCTCTGCTCTGCTCTGCTCTGCTCTGCTCTGCTCTGCTTTGCTCTGCTCTGCTCTGCTCTGCTTTGCTCTGCTCTGCTCTGCTCTGCTTTGCTCTGCTCTGCTCTGCTTTGCGCTGCTCTGCTCTGCTCTGCTCTGCTTTGCTCTGCTCTGCTCTGCTTTGCGCTGCTCTGCTCTGCTCTGCTCTGCTCTGAACTGAAGGCCTGACGCCATTTTCTCACCATGGGCTGACTGTGCACTGCTGGTGCATGGTTGCTCTGCTGCTTATGCGTGCCGCTCCCTCGCATGGCATGGCATGGCATGGGATGGCATGGCATGGCATGGCATGGCCTGCTGTGCTGCAGGTGGTGGAGTTGGAGAGGGACTGCGCGCTCCGCAGACGCACCTCCAGCTTCCAGCTGCATCCGCGCAGCTGGATGGCTATAGCATGGTACGCTTGTGCTTGCTCCCCCCCATCCCCCCCCACCCCCCCATCCCCCTCAACCTCCTCATCTTCCTCCACCCTGCCCTGTTTCTCGTGTTCTCGGCATTGGCCTACTCCGCCTGCCACCTTCTGCCGTTTTCATCACCAATCCCACTCCTTCCCCTACCCTCTCACTTCCCGCCCATCTGCCCCCGTGGGTGCAGGTACCCGGTGTACAGCATCCCCATGGGCCCCACCGCTCAGGACCTCGCAGCATCCTTCCTCACCTTCCACAGCCTCTCCTCGCCTCTGCCCTCCTCCTCAGGTCAGTCCAAATCAGGTCAGCCCTCGTCAGATAACTCCCTTTCTCGTTCTACCAGTCCGTGACATTGTCTAGTTTTGAGGCGCCTCAAATCTACCAGTCCGTGACAGTGTCAAAGCTTGAAAAGAGTGCGTGGTTACTCCATTGCATGCTTATCGTGCTTCCGAGGAGTCTATTTTTGAGGCTCCTCAAAAATAGCTTCCCCCCTGCTTGTCGTGCTTCCCCCCTGCTTGTCGTGCTTCCCCCCTGCTTGTCGTGCTTCCCCCCTGCTTGTCGTGCTTGCCCCCTGCTTGTCGTGCTTCCCCCCTGCTTGTCGTGCTTCCCCCCTGCTTCTCGTGCTTGCCCCCTGCTTGTCATGCTCCCCCCCTGCTTGTCATGCTTCCCCCCTGCTTGTCATGCTTCCCCCCTGCTTGTCGTGCTTCCCCCCTGCTTGTCGTGCTTGCCCCCTGCGTGTCGTGCTTCCCCCCTGCTTGTCATGCTTCCCCCCTGCTTGTCATGCTTCCCCCCTGCTTGTCATGCTTCCCCCCTGCGTGTCGTGCTTGCCCCCTGCTTGTCATGGCTGCTCAGCCCCCCAAGGCGCATCTCTCAAGTGCTGACATCCTCGTCTCATCCAGCACGTTTGCACTTCAATCCGGCCCCTCCCCCTTCCTTCGTGTGTCTCCATTGTTCCTTCCATTAATCTCCATTCCTCTTCCCTCTGCTCCTCCTCTCTCTCCCCATCCTCCTCATCCCAGGATCCTGCAGCAGGTGTAGAGATAGGTTCTGGATCGCCCCCTCGTCGCTTTCCCCCTCCCACCCCATCAAGCAACTAAACCAGCTGCCCGGCCGGCTATCCTCGGATTATTCAGCTGCCCGTGCAGGCGAGGGCAGGCCACGGGGTGCTCTCACTGCTGCTCTGGTGCCGTTTGGCTTTGCGGGGTACAAGACGTGGGGCACGGTGTGGTCGGACCGGGGCGCTGTGCAGGGCCTGGAGTCCGCAGCGGCGCAGTGGCTCCGACAGATTGACGCCACCCTACCCGACCACGCCTTCTTTTCCATGCAAAGATAACATGAATAATTGTGATTTCTTTGTCTTATTGCACAATTTATTAGCGCATTATGCATCTCAGCTTCGTGTACTTACCAGATGTCGAAGAACTCACAAACGGCACAATATAACTGTACGCACGCGCAATTTCGCGCCCCTCTATATTTGCGGATGTGAACACGTCACATTCCGCCTTCGCACATTCTTATTTTCGCGCCTTTTATTTTCCTCCGCGCCTAAGCACGTTGCGCGTATCAGCACCCTCGATTCCGTCTGCGTGCTCTACTCACCTGCTCAACACCAGCTGCCATGTATTTGCTGCAGCATTTGCCAGCTTCGCTTACCTGCTGTCCGCCCGCTCCTTCCGCTCCCCTCCTTCCCTCTCTCCGCTCTCTCGCTTCCTCCGCATTCCACCTCGCCATTTCCCGTCGCCTCGGCTATTCCTCAGTCGTATCCCGCAATGCACGCCGCAATACACTCTTCCCGTGTAGCCGTAGAATCGCGCGGCTCGTTGGCGCGAGGGCGAGTGGGGAGCTTCGAGGCGACGTGGATGCGATAATAGCGAGGGGGCGGGAGGCGGGCGCGTTTGTGGAGCACTGCACGTGTGTGGTGGCCGGTGCGGCTGACGGCCCGTTACACCGGCTGACGTTCGGCGTCAAGGACATGTACGACGTGCGTGGGGGGGGCAGGAGGAGGGGGGTGGGGAGGGAGTGGGGGGAGATGGGGGAGGGGGGAAGGGGAGGGACGATGGGGGAGTGACGATGGGAATATGGGGGGGTGACGATGGGAATATGGGGGGGTGACGATGGGAATATGGGGGGGTGACGATGGGAATATGGGGGGGTGACGATGGGAATATGGGGGGGTGACGATGGGAATATGGGGGGGTGACGATGGGAATATGGGGGGGTGGTTGGGGGATCACGAGACTGCTCTGGGAGGCGATGTAGTGCGAGTAGGGACTTCTCGCCATCTCGCCGGCACCGCATCTCCTCATGCCTGTCTGCAGCACTTGTTTCCTGCGCCTGACAGCCCCGTGCTCCCAGCCCCTCTGTCTCCCAAAAAGGCAACTCCCCTCTGCGCGGGTGCGCGGGTACACGGGTGCGTGGTGCAGGTGGCGGGCTTCCCAACGGGTTTCGGCAATCCCACGTGGCTGGGCACGCATGGCATCCCCGATACCACCGCGCCTGTCGTGCAGGTGCGTGGAGTGGCGTGTGTGTGTGTGTGGGTACCAGCATGTGCACCCGCCCACCCCCTTGCACCGTGCTTCACCCCTTGCCCCCATTCCTCACCCCAGTGCTTGCTGTCGGGGGGCGCGTCGCTGGTGGGCAAGACCGCCATGGACGAGCTGGCCTTCTCCCTGGCGGGCGAGAACGCGCACTACGGCACGCCCACCAGCCCCGTCCGCTGTCCACCAGGCCTCACACACCGTCCACCACGCCTCACACACCATCCACCCCGTGTCCCCCACCCCTGCCTGCAGGCGCTGCTGGCAGCGGGCGCCACGCTGGTGGGCAAGACCGCCATGGACGAGCTGGCCTTCTCCCTGGCGGGCGAGAACGCGCACTACGGCACACCCACCAACCCCACCGCGCCCGACCGCATCCCTGGTGGCTCCTCCTCGGGCTCCGCCGCTGCTGTGGGTGGCATTCCGTGTCTTTAGTGCTCTCGCTGCGTGCAGCAAACCTGCCTGACTCTAGTGCCCTCCACTGCTGTGTCCCGTCTCTTTCTTCTTTGGCTGCCATGCGCCTCTTTTCCTCGCTACCCAGGCACATATCTCTCCACTCACTCACTTCACGGGGGACGCACTCTCTCTCTACGCCCGCAGGTGGCAGCAGGTCTGGTTGATTTCGCCCTGGGCAGCGACACAGCTGGCTCGGTGCGCATCCCAGCCAACCACTGCGGCATCTTCGGCATCCGCACCACACATGGCCGCCTCCCATTGGCCGGCGCTCAACCCCTGCAGCCGTCCATGGATGCGGGTGAGTGCCTCTGTTGCTGCAAGTGATGCGGGTGAGTGCCTCTGTTGCTGCAAGTGATGCGGGTGAGTGCCTCTGTTGCTGCAAGTGATGCGTGTCTATGTGTCACGCCCTTCTTCTCTTTCTCGCCCTCCTCCCTGCTTCTCCCATTTCTCCTCTTCCTATTCACCCCTCCCGTTATCTCTCCCCTCCCTCCACCATGCCCCAGTGGGCTGGTTTGCCCGAGAAGCCACTGTCCTTCAACGAGTGGGCTCCATGCTCTTCCACTCCCTCTCCTTAGCCTCCTCCTCCTCCGCCCCCTCCTCTTCTTCCTCCTCCTCCTCCTCCTCCTGCTCCTCCTCCTCCTCCTCCTCCTTCTCCTCTCTTCAACCCTTCACGGGTTGGCTAGTAGCAAAGGACGCATTTGAGCTAGCAGACGAAGATGCCGCCCGCGCAATCTACGACAAGATCTCGCCACATACTGACGCAATCGCAGCGGCGCTGGGTGGGCGGCCGGAGGAGGTTGCAGTTGCGGGGGAGGTGGGCAGCGAGCTGGGCGGTGTGCACGAGTGGGTGGAGGCCATGCGTGTGCTGCAGGTGAGCATAGGTGCTGCAGGTGGGCATAGATGCTGCAGATGAGCATAGGTGCTGCAGGTGGGCATAGATGCTGCAGGTGAGCATAGGTGCTGCAGGTGAGCATAGGTGCTGCAGGTGGGCATAGATGCTGCAGGTGAGCATAGGTGCTGCAGGTGGGCATAGATGCTGCAGGTGAGCATAGGTGCTGCAGGTGGGCATAGATGCTGCAGATGAGCATAGGTGCTGCAGGTGGGCATAGATGCTGCAGGTGAGCATAGGTGCTGCAGGTGGGCATAGATGCTGCAGGTGAGCATAGGTGCTGCAGGTGGGCATAGATGCTGCAGGTGGGCATAGATGCTGCAGGTGAGCATAGGTGCTGCAGGTGGGCATAGATGCTGCAGGTGAGCATAGGTGCTGCAGGTGGGCATAGATGCTGCAGGAAAGCATAGGTGCTGCAGGTGGGCATAGATGCTGCAGGTGGGCATAGGTGCTGCAGGTGGGCATAGGTGCTGCAGGTGGGCATAGATGCTGCAGGAAAGCATAGGTGCTGCAGGTGGGCATAGATGCTGCAGGTGGGCATAGGTGCTGCAGGTGGGCATAGGTGCTGCAGGTGGGCATAGATGCTGCAGGAAAGCATAGGTGCTGCAGGTGGGCATAGATGCTGCAGGTGGGCATAGGTGCTGCAGGTGGGCATAGGTGCTGCAGGTGGACGTTTCCACTCACCAACCGTTTTGAAGAATCAGCCTCTCCCTACGCCCTCCCTGCCCGCCCCTCCATGTCTCCCTTCCTCCCTCTTTTTTGCATACCTCTCCTCCCTCTCCTCCCTTTCTCTCTCCCCCTCCCTGTCCGCCGCTCCATCTCTTCCTCGTTCCTTTCCTGCCTGCCTCTCTCTCCCCTCTCTCTCCCCCCCTCCCCCCCCACAGCTCATAGAGGCCTGGCAGTGCCACGGCCAGTGGATCACCTCTCACCGCCCCGCCTTTGGCCCGGGCGTGGCGCAGCGCTTCCAAGCCGCCTCCCAGGTGGACCCTGCAGGGGACGAGGTGGCATGCGCGCAGAGGAAGAGAGCGAGGTGAGGGGGAGGCAGGGGAAGGGGGAAGGGGACGGGGAGAGAGGGCGTGTATGGGGCTGAGCCAATTATGTGAGGGGATGCTGTGCTGAACAGCATGCACTCACATCTCCCCGCCCCCTCAAATTCCCACGTACCCACATACCCGCGCACTCACGTACCCACCCCCAATCCTCACTCCCCAACCCACCAGATTCACCTCGCACGTGCAGAGTCTCGTTTCGGGTGGCAAGCTGCTCATGCTGCCGGCCGCTCCTAGCATAGCGCCGCTGAAGTCCGCCCCGCCTGCTGACGTGGACTCCTTCCGGGTCCGCACCCTGGCGCTCACTGTCATTGGAGGCGCTGCCGGCCTGCCTCAGGTGAAAACAGCAGAGAAGCTCAGGTGAAAACAGCAGAGGGGCTCAGGTGGCGTGAGCAGGGTTTGTGCGGGTGAAGGTGAGGCCATCTGTCCTGGTAGCCCATGGTCCCATGTATGGTTTCACATCGATCTGCTGCCCTGCCCATGTGCGTCCCTCCTTCCCCTCATTCCTTTCCCACTTCCCCCACTTCCCCCACTTCCCCCACTTCCCCCACTTCCCCCACTTCCCCCACTTCCCCCACTTCCCCCTCTTCCCCCACCTCCCCCTCTTCCCCCACCTCCCCCACTTCCCCCACTTCCCCCACTTCCCCCTCTTCCCCCACTTCCCCCTCTTCCCCCACTTCCCCCACTTCCCCCACTTCCCCCACTTCCCCCACTTCCCCCACTTCCCCCTCTTCCCCCACTTCCCCCACTTCCCCCACTTCCCCCTCTTCCCCCACTTCCCCCACTTCCCCCACTTCCCCCTCTTCCCCCACCTCCCCCACTTCCCCCACTTCCCCCACTTCCCCCTCTTCCCCCACCTCCCCCACTTCCCCCACTTCCCCCACTTCCCCCTCTTCCCCCACCTCCCCCACTTCCCCCACTTCCCCCACTTCCCCCCGCGCCTGCCCCCTCCCATGACTGCCCCTTGCCTCCCCTGCTCTGTGCGCTGGCACGCCCCAAATCACCCTGCCCCTCACCGTACTGCACAGCTACCTTTTGAGGCGCCTCAAAAGTCACCCGCCTCTCCCCCACCCTGCCCCCCCTCCCATGACTGCCCCTCCTCGCCTCCCCTGCTCGAGCTGCCACGCCCCAGATCACCATGCTTTTGAGTCGACTCAAAAGCTCCCCGCCCCTGCCCCCCCCCTCCCATGACTGCCCCTCGCCTCTTCTGCTCTGTGTGCTGGCACTCCCCAGATCACCCTGCCTCTCACCACGCTGCACGGCTGCCCCTTGGGGCTGGGCATAGTGGCGGGCAGGGGGCGCGACGAGGACCTGCTGGCAGCGGCCGTTACACTGGCAGCGATACTGGGCCTCTGAGGCACGCTTTTGAGTTGACTCAAAAGGCGATACTGGGGCTCTGAGGCGCGCTTTGAGTCAACTCAAAAGCGGCGATACTGGGGCTCTGAGGCGTGCTGCTGCTGTTCTCCGGAGGTGGGGCTGCTGCTATGCTACGGGTGTAAGGTTGGCATTTGTGCTCCATTTGAATAGCGCGTACAGGGCATACGTGGGCATAGAATCAGTCAACTACGAATGTATATACACATTGTTGGAAATACCTCAAAGGACTTGAGCGTTTCTGAAGTGTAACACTGTACTCGAGGAAGATTACAGGGGAGCACGCGGAGGTTACACAAGGGGGCGGACAAAGAATGCGAAAAGACTCGAAAGGTCGCAACTGGAGGTTGCGACTGACCGTTACAACATCACGGATGGTAATCGAAGCGGCAATCGAATCGCTGTGCGACTCGATAAACCGTTCCTGTAACTGTATTCTACAACTGCCTTCCTATCTTCTATAAATTGCTGTATGCTTGTTTCTTTAATTAATCACTTGTTCTCACATACTAGTACAAGGGTTCAACTGCCTCAACTTCCGCTGCACTACTCAAAGTCTCAAAGTCTCTACAGCTGGGACTTAGTCTCTGCAAAAGATCCTAAGGGCTTTTTCTCAGCCCAATACACATACACACAGTACATTATATATGCTAATCATGGATACTTTGCTTTATATAAAAAACATTTTGAGCCACAATAGCTGGCTACAACGGCCTGCCTGCCTACATACGGCACGGTAACAACCCGACGAGCCGCTCATCTACAGGCACATTAACAGGAGTAGAAGCGGGGCACTGCTGATCAGCCCAAGGTGACGGCGGCTGGCGCCCACGTGCGGTTGAGGACACTGGCAGCGGGGCAGTACACGCGCAGCACCAGGGAGAAGCTGTCATTGGCCAGCGTCGGCAGCCAGTTGCCGCCCAGACTTGCATTGGGCGGGGGGGACGGCTGGATGGGAACAGTGAGTGTGCCGTCCAGGTTGTAGCTGAGCCCCTTGGTGCGATCCCCAATGCTGTTGCGCCACAGCCCCTGGGGCAGAAACCCATCGCCATTGTACAGAGTCAGCGACCAGAAGCCGCATGCGGTGACGGGCGGTGGAGAGAGGTGCAGGGAGTGGTTGGCGGCGCCGTCGTAGCGCTGGCCGAGGGCGTCCTGCCAGGTGAGGAGGTAGAGGGACTCCGCGGAGGGGAGCGCTCCCAGCCCGCCTGTGGACGTGAAGCCTGCTCGGAAGAGAAAGCGGTCGCCGTAGCTGGGGGCGGGGGGGGGGGGGGGGAGAGGGGGAGACAAGAGAGGGATGAGGAGGGAGAGGGGGGGATGGAAGGTATTCCACACATTCACTTCAACTTCTCCTCCCCACTCTCTCTCTCGTGGACAGCACCAATGCTCATGCATGCGCACTCCCACACACGCATAACTCATCCCCCATCTCCCCACTCATTCCTTCCCCCCACGCATCTCTTCCCCCCACTCATCCCCCTTCCCCCCACGCATCTCTGCCCCCCACTCATCTCCTTTCCCCCCACGCGTCCCTTCAAGCACACTCACTAGCCCAGGGACGTGTCGGACAGCCAGCGGTTGACCACCACCGACCGGTTCACCCCCAGCAGCAGGAGCGTGTACGCGCCCCTTATAGTCACATTCGCTAAGAGGTACGCCTGGGCGAGCGCCAGGCGCTGCACGGGCGAGAGGGAGGCGGGGGTGAAGGGGGAGGCGGAGGAGGAGAAGGGGGAAGAGGAGGCAGAGGAGGCGGAGGAGGAGAGGTTGGAGGAGGAGGCGGAGGAGGCGGAGGAGGAGAAGGGGGAAGAGGAGGCAGAGGAGGCAGAGGAGGAGAGGTTGGAGGAGGAGGCGGAGGAGGTGGAGGAGGAGTAGATGCCGATGGTTGCAAGCTGGTTGAGCACACTGTGAGGGGGGACAGGGAGGTGGGGAGAAGACACAGGACGATGGGAAAGACCGGGCGGCCGGGGGGGGGGGGGTTAGTAGGCTTGCAACATGGGGCTGTGACAATATCGAGAGAAACACCAGCATGTGGCTGTATTGAGAGCAAGGTGAATGCGTGACTCACTCCAGGTTAGCAGCGTCCTGGGTGGGTGGGTTGTCCTGCAGGGCGCGGTCGATGAGCACCAACCGCTGCATGCCATCTGGCAGGCCGGCCAGTGAAGAGAGGTCGGGCGGTGGGAGAGGGGTGGCAGGGGCGTTGGTGGCGGGGCGCGTGAGAGTGATGTTGCTGTGGGGGGGGGGAAGAGGGGATGGGCGGAGATAGAAGGGAACCCAAGGGTCGATTGAAGAGTGATGTTGCTGTGGGGGGGCGGAAGAGGGGAAGGGGGGAGGTAGAAGGGAACAGGAGGGGGCGATGAACGGAATGGAGGAGAGGAGTGAGGAGGAAGGGACACAGCCGACGGACATGAGACAAGGGTGACAGTAGGCAGCTGGCCATTCACCTGAGGCAACGGTGGTGGCAGCAGGCGGGGGGGGGGGGGGCTTCACTGAGGCAACGGTGGTGGCAGCAGGCAGCTTGCATTCACCTGAGGCAACGGTGGTGGCAGCAGGCAGCTTGCCATTCACCTGAGGCAACGGTGGTGGCAGCAGGCAGCTTGCCATTCACCTGAGGCAACGGTGGTGGCAGCAGGCAGCTTGCCATTCACCTGAGGCAACGGTGGTGGCAGCAGGCAGCTTGCCATTCACCTGAGGCACGGTGGGGGGGGGGGGGGGGGGGGGGGGGGCGGTGGGGCAGCAGGCAGCTTGCCATTCACCTGAGGCAAGGGTGACAGCAGGCAGCTGGCCATTCACCTGAGCAGGTTGCTAGCAGCAGGCACGTCCTCATACCCCTGCACCAGCACGCGCACGATCAAAAACACGTTGCGCGTGCTGCTCCGCACAGTAATAACCGTCGACCTGCCACCACTGCTGTTCCCAGCCCCTCCCCCTCCCCCTCCCCCTCCCCCTCCCCCTCCCCCTCCCCCTCCCCCTCCCCCTGCTGCGCCTGTCTGACTGGAGTTGGTAACCTCCCCCGCACCCTCCTCCCCCAACCCCTGCCCCCCCGACTGCACAAGCAGTGACAGCGGACCCGGGCCGTCGGTCCTTGCGCCGTGCACCGCGACGACGTCGCTGTAGGGGCTCACGAGCAGCGCGCTGTAGTAGCGCGGCGGGGCCACGTACGGCAGCGCCAGGAGCAGCGGGCCAGACGCGAGGTCCAGCCACGCCGCGGCGTACAGCGTGTCGGTGTTCTGCAGGGGGATGGTGGACTGGGGGGGAAGGGGGGGGGGGAGAAGGGTGGTAGAGATGAGAAGGGAGGAAAGGAGGAAGAGGGTTGTTTGATGGGGGCCCGAGACAAGTGGCCCGAAACAAGAGGCTCGAGACAAGAGGCCCGAGACAAGAGGCCCGAGACAAGAGGCCCGAGACAAGAGGCCCAAGAGAAGACGCCCGAGACAAGAGGCCCGAGACATGCAGTGCGTGGCAGGCAGCAGGGGCGCACCTGGTTATCGGCGGTGGTGAGGTTGGTCTGGCGAATCAGCGCGTTCACGGCGCGGAAGGTGGCGGCGTTGCGCACCGACGACACCAGCGGCTGCCCCCACACGTGCGCCGTCAGCCCCGCCTGGAGATACCTGGGGAGTCGGGGGGCATGGGAGGCATGGTGGTGGCATGGGGGCATGGAAGCATGGGGGCATGAGGGCATGGAGGCATGGGGGCATGGAGGCATGGGGGCATGGAGGCATGGGGGCACGGGGGCATGGGGGCATGGGGGCATGGGGGCATGGGGGCACGGGGGCATGGGGGCACGGGGGCATGGGGGCATGGAGGCATGGGGGCATGGGGGCACGGGGGCATGGGGGCACGGGGGCATGGGGGCATGGGGGCATGGGGGCATGGGGGCATGGGGGCATGGCCATGGTAGGGTGGGATGCATGTTTGTTGTCACTGCTTGGCCCATTGCGGCATCACCTGCCATGACCAGCTCGCACCTGCTGTATTCGCCATCCGGTATTCCGCTAATGAGCGACGCGTTACTGGCACTGTCCGATGCGCCCCCACCCACCGGCCCGCCCAGCCCGTCTCCGGCAGCGGCGGACGGCAGCAGCAGCGGCAGAGACGCCGTGGGGGGCGGGCTCTCGGGCGCGCCGTAGGAGGTTTGCGCGGCGGCTGGTGTGAGGCACGCGAGGAACGCGAGGCACGCGAGGAGCAGCGCCAGGGAGAGGCGGGCAGGAAGCGAGGGACGAGGCGGCATGGTGGGCGGCAGGATAAAAAGTGAGTAAGACGCCATTGTGCGGAATGAAGCTGAATCCACGCGACGCACACTATACGCTCATCCACATGAGTGCGCAAATGGAGGAGCGGCGGTAAAGACGAAGGCGGATCGTCGCTCCTGCGATCGCCTCCGTTCCGCCGGCCTTGCGACGGGCGACGATTCCACCATTCGTCCATCCGACCCAGCAGGCGCCGCTCACCCACGCCTCGGATCACGCCCCGCCCTCCCTCGCCCGGGAGGCGAGCACCGGCCGCACTTTCCGAGAATCGCGAGCGAGCCACGAAATGGGGCCCGAGATTCGCATCGCGCCGGGTGGTGCGCGGCTGGTGCCAGCCATTGCGGTTGGACTGCCGTGAACCGAAATCCTGACAGATTGAGAGGTGTTGATGGGCGTAGGAGACGAGACGGGCGGAGTGTGACAAGCATGCGAGACTCACGGTTGTAGTGAGCAATGACAATATCGAGGAAATTGGTTAGGAAATGACGGCAGGGGCAAAACTTGCGCTCACCAAGGGGTAGTTTCTCGAAAAAACACTACCTTCCAGATCTATTCACTACAGATTTTCCGAGCTTATGCGGTTCGGTAGCCTGAAATCTGTCTGGTTGACCCCAAAGAGCTTCAGGGGATACTGTAGCTTGGGGTTCGATAGACGAAACGTCAGTGGGGGTCGGTCGGTGTCGAGCCAGCCAAGGGGAAAAAAACTGGGACCCTAAACCCTAAACTACCTTCGAAATTTGAGCGCTCCAAAAACGAAGCGCCGAAGTTTTCTTCGCTGTAAGCTGCCCTTTTTTTCCGTAACATAATTCACGTTTGGGAGGTAGATACTGGTCTGTACCATCAGCAATTAGCAATGTCGGATCCGCCAAAACCGAATTAGGCGGAGCCAAACCCACCGCACCAAGACCAGCAAACGCCAGACGCCGTTTTCCAGCCGCGTCTTTTAGTTGACGCTTTAGAGGCCTTTCGACTCGATCCGACGACTCGGGGATCCACGGCGACTCCATCCATGGCAGACCTCCGATCTAACAGGTGCGTCACCCGCACTTCTCGCTTCTCGCTTCTCGCTTCTCGCGTCTCGCCTTCCTGACTTTCCCTCCCCCCTGCCTTGTCTTGCTTGCCCGGCGTCCACGGGGCTTGCGCCTCCCCCACCCCCCGCGCGTTCCCCATTTCCCGCTCCTCGTGCGCCTGCCCGCAGGGACGAGGAGGGCGAGGAGCGCGGGGGCTGGGCGCAGGACGAGAAGGCGCGCGGGGAGCAGGGGCGCGCGCGGGAGTGGGAGGATGCGGAGCGGCAAAGGCAAGAGGTCAAACTGGGACTGCACCCGCTGCAGGTTCGTCCATGCACATGTGACTGTATCGAGAGAGAATCACCGCGTGAACCTAGGCGATTGTATCGAGCGGGGCAATTTCACAGTGGGCTGTCAGTGGACTCACAAGTCCCTCGCCCCTCTACATTGCCTGCCCACATCACCGTATCGCTCTTGTGCCTCCATCCCCGTTACAAGCAGACGCGGTACGTGCTGTGGTACACGCGGCGGCAACGGCAGCCGCCAGGGCAGCGCAGCGCGACGTCGTACGAGGACAGCATCCGCCGCATCGCCGACTTCAGCACCGTGAGCAACGCGCGGGGAGGGTGGGTGTAGCGCTATGGGGGGTGGGCAATGCGCGGGGGGGGGCGGGGGGGGGGGGTGTAGGGGTGGGGGGTAAAGAGGACAGCATCCGCCGCATCGCCGACTTCAGCACCGTGAGCAGCGCGCTGGGGGGGTTGGGTGCCGTTGGCAGTGGACACTAGGGGCCTACGGGGTAGGGAGGTAGCAGCGCAATCTCACCTGTGTGTGTCTCTCTTCCCTCCTCTCCCCTCCATCTCCACCACCCCGCCTTTTCCCCCCTCCCTCACCTCCCCCTGTCCCTCGCCCCATCCTCCTTCCCCCTCTCACCCCCTACCACCCCCCGTGAGGAGTCTATGTTTGAGGCGCCTCAAAAATAGACTCCTCACCCCCTACCACCCCCCGTGTCAAAAATAGACTCCTCACCCCTACCACCCCCCGTGCCTCCCCCCTCCTCACCCCTACCACCCCCCGTGCCTCCCCCCTCCTCACCCCTACCACCCCCCGTGCCTCCCCCCTCCTCACCCCCTACCACCCCCCGTGCCTCCCCCCTCCCGGCAGGTGGAGGCGTTCTGGGCGTGCTACTGCCGCATGGTGCGCGCGTCAGCGTTGCCCGCGCCCACCGACATCCACGTCTTCAAAGACGGCATCCGGCCCCTCTGGGAGGTGCGCCTCCCGCCGCCCTCCCTCCCTGCCTGCCCAGATGCTCTAGCCTGCCGCCCTCGCCTCTGCCCTCCACCTCCCCTTCTCCCACTGCCTTGCGTTACTCCTCCATTCCCCTGCTCCCATCAAGCACAACCCCTCCCCCCCCCCTCCCCCCCCTCCTCCCCCCCTGCTGCCCGCACTCCAGGACTCGCACAACCGGCGCGGCGGCAAGTGGATGGTGCGCCTGCGCAAGCCGCTCACAGCGCGCATGTGGGAGCAGCTGGTGAGACAAGAGAGGGGGGAGAGGGTGAGCCAGGATGGGGGTGCAGCCGGTGACAGCGGGGGGATGAGGGCAGGTGGCGGAAAAGAGAGAGCAGCAGATGGAGTGTGGGGGGAATCCGGAGGGGATTGCACCGTGCATTCACCCATTCTCACAGTTGTCCTCCCGTACCCTCCTGCCTTTGTATCTCTCCTCCACCCCCATCCCTTGCCCTTCTCCCACCCCCCCAAGCAACAGCTGCTGGCGGTGGTGGGCAGGCGAGCAGGTGGGGGCGCGGAGGGCATGTGTGGGATGGTGCTAATCCCTGTCCATCGCCTCTTCTTCCTTCCTCTCCTCCCCCCAGCTGATGGCGGTGGTGGGCGAGCAGCTGGAGGGTGCGGAGGAGGTGTGCGGGGTGGTGTTGAGCGTGCGCTTTGGCGAGGACATCCTCTCCATCTGGAACCGCTCTGCACCGCACAGCCTGGTGGGTGGCGCACAGCCTGGTGAGGGGAGCACAGTCTGGTGGGTTGACTTGACACACCCCGTCTGGCCGGCGGTGGGTGCGGGCGGCATGGGATGGGTGCGCCTTTTCAGCGCCTCCCTGCTCTCTTGCCCCCGTCTCGTCCGTCGCCCCGCCTTCACCCTGCCAGATCTTGCTCTCGTCTCATCCCATCCCGCCACCCACAGGCGCGCGACCGCCTCTGCGACTCCATCCGCAAGCACCTGGGCCTGCCGCCCTCCTACACCATGGTCAGCCCCGCACGCCCATCCCCCATGCCCACCTCCCATGCTCACCTGCCATGCTCACCTGCCATGCTCACCTGCCATGCGCACCTGCCATGCGCACCTGCCATGCGCACCTGCCATGCTCACCTGCCATGCTCACCTGCCATTGAGCTGCCATGTTTGCAGTATGCTCACATGCTTTTTGTGTGCACATGTTATCTCCTACTCTTCCTTCCGTCCCGTGTATTTCACGCCCGGAGTTTCCGTTGCCTCCCCTCTCCCACTAGGAGTACAGCGCATGCAAGCCCACAACGCAGTTACCTGCCCCCCCTTCCTGATTCCACCTTTCTCCATGTGTCCTCCCCTCGCATCCCTGTGCCTCCCGTGTTATCCACTCAGGAGTACAAGCCCCACGATGCCTCTCTCAAGGACCACTCATCATACCGCAACACATGGGTCCGCACTTAGCTTCCGCGCATCCATGTTGTCTGCTTCTTGTAGACTTAACTGCACTGGCTAAGTGTTGTGCAGTTGAATCTTACATCTTGCTTATTGATTTTTGTAAAGGCTTTGTCTAATGCGACCAAAATGTCGAGCACCTAGCATTGGCCCTATGAAAGGTTGGATGGAGGTGACACTTGGTTTTTTTTCCACTCACCTATTGGGGAATAATGGTGCTAGGGGTACAGTATGCTGGTCTTGTTTCACTGTCAAAGTCGCGCTTAGAGCGTATGCGGTATAATCTAGGCTCGCGGGGATGTGAGGGACGGCCTCCCCTGCCCTAATTGAACTATTTGGACCCGCCCTAACTGGCCCCTCTCTTACCACTGTTTCTCCCCCCTCAACCTGCCCCACTGCCCACTGCGCCGCAGTCGCAGCAAGGCCGAGCTGAGGTACTCCACTTCCTTCCCCAACCCAACCAATGAGCCTTCGGCATTCTTCCCACCAAATTCCCGTGGTTCTGCGTCAGCCATTGAAGAAACCGTCACCGCGTCAGGGACAGACTGGAAACTGGAAACCAAAAAAAAAAAAAAAAAAAAAAAAAAAAACCGTCTGTTTCATTTATGGCTGTACGGATGGTGTAAGCCAGCTGCTATCTGGCGGATTTTGGAAGTGGAATGACAGCTGGAGATCAGTGGCCTAGGTCATCCTATTATTGGCTCTTTCCAATCTCTACTCCACCAGCGACCTGCACCGTTCCTCACGTCCTGCACTTTCCTGCGTGGCTGCGCGGCACCGCGCTTCGCAGTTCGCGTCCCGTGCTTGTCGGAGCTGAGGGAATCAAGCTCTGCTGGCGACGATGCAGCCGGTGGGGGGCAGGCGTCGCCTCATGGCCGCTGAGCCAAGTACAGTACAGTGTAATTATGAGCTGGTGCCCACGGTTGGTGCCGCGGCCGTGGAGCGCGCTGGACCGCACAGAATCATGTCCCATCCCGCGGCGCGCGTGTCGTGCCAGCCACCGGCGGCATCTCTCCGTCCGCCGCGCTGGCGAGTATCAGCATCGCATGTCAGTCCATCGAAAGAAATGTAATGTAGGTCATCTCTCCCCACCTGCAGTCTCTCCGAGAGAGTCCCCCCAGCAGCCCAGCAGAGCGCCGTCTCACCACAATCATACCCTCGCTACCTGTAACCCGTTCATTCGCGTCTCATGCCTCCTCGACCGACTCTCATGCTCTTACCAACCCGCGGAAATCACTTATCAACGCCGTCTACGGAATACCCTCGCCCGCAATAGCCTGAGGCGATCAGCATTCCCAGCGTTCGAGTCCACCACAAGCGCCATGGCTCGTCTACCACGCTCTCCCAGTCGTCGCGCGCCGCCGTGCTGCTGCTTCTCGCGGCGGCAGCGGCGGTGGCAGCGGCGCTGCCGGGGCTCATCAGCCCTATCCCGCCCATCGCGGGCATGGGCACGCCGGACGCCGTCGTCATGGCTGAAAGTACGTCGCTCGCTCATGATGGCGAGAGTGGGTCGCTCGCTTTTCACCTGTCCGAATGTCGAAGCCCCCCATTCGCCAATGCCTGCGGCGCTGCTGGCGTTGGCGGCGGCGATGGGGAACCATCCGGTGTTCGTGGCGGGGGATTGGTACAACGCGACCTTGGGAATGTCGTACGAGAACACCAAGCCGCGCGGCAGTGGATCACGTGCGACGGGGAAGGCCGCATCAATGCCATGTAAGCAATCAGTGCCATGTCAGCAGTCAATGCCATGTCAGCAGTCCACGCCATGTATCAACCAATGAACGACAGAGCAGCCATGGCGTGGAAGCAACCAGCGCGCAGCCATCAATCTCTGCCATGTGCCGTCAATGCCTTTCCCTCTGATAATGCCACAAAACCTCGCCACCCCATCCCCCCCTCCCCCCCCCAGCAACCTCAACAACACTGCCATGGTGGCATGGGACCCCGAGTTCGCCCCAGGGGGCAGCGTGGGGCCGCTCAAGGGGCGCGTGCTGTGGGAGCGCATGGGCGCGCTGGGGAACCTGGTGCTCATCAACCTGCAGGGCAACGCCATCCACGGCCCGCCACTCCCCGCCAACCTCACCGCCAACCTCGATGCGATGTATGTGCGCCCGCCGTCTCTACGAAATGTACGCAGGTTGTCTCTCCCTCCTTCGCCCCCTCCTCCTCTCTTCATAGAATTACAGTGCCGTGCCCCTCTAGCCGCCAGGAAAGGCCTTTCTGTGAGATGCTATATTACGCAAGGCAACATGTCCCTCTGCAGTGCTCTGCTCTTCGCCCCCCTTATGCTCTGCCTCCCAATGCTTCGCCCTGCTCTCCTGCCTTCCTCCCACAATCCTCCCACGTCTATCGCTCCCTCCCTCCTGTTCCCCTGCGCCCCTGCGTGCCCCCCAGCATGCTGCAGGGCAACTGCTTCAACGGCTCCCTGCCCGACCAGATCTCCACCCTCCAAGCGCTCTAGAAACTGTGAGGATCCTTAGGGTCGCCTGGCAGCTTCCTAATTCTTAAAGCCTGAACCTCCAACCTTGAACCCTACACCTTGGAACCTGACTTCCATGCTCCTCGCTCCTTGGCCCTTGCCATTCGGCGTATCAACTGCATTGCAGCTTCTTGTGCGACACCTTAGAATGCTATCTCACCCTCTCTTTCCCCCCCCCTCTCTTGCTCCGTCTCCCTTCTCGCAGCGACGTGAGTGGGTATTAGATCACAGGCTCCATTCCACGTGGCATCACCACCCTCTCCAATCTGACGTGGCTGGCCATATCGCAGAACCACATGGTCGACGTGCTGCCACCCAAACTCGGCAACTTGACGCAGATAGTCAAGCTGTAAGGGGCAGATGGTCAAGCGGCAGATGGTCAAGCTGTAAGGGGCAGATGGTCAAGCTGTAAGGGGCAGATGGTCAAGCTGTAAGGGACAGATGGTCAAGCTGTAAGGGGCAGATGGTCAAGCTGAAAGGGGCAAAGCAAGGCAGGTCAAGCCTCTCACAGGCACGCTATCTGGCCTGGCAGCAGGAGGGGGGGGGACGGGGTTAGGCGGCCCACCGTGTGATGGCAGTGTGCTCGGGACAGTGCCAATGCCTGTCGCAGCTCCAACCGACGCCTATCCATGCCGCACGCCAGGGCCCATCTCCGTCAAAGGCACGACTCTTACGTGCGTCCGTTTGCCATTCCCCTGTGCGGGTGCAGTGCAGGGACATTGGGGGGAGACTTTTGAGTCGACTCAAAAGTCACCTCATTCCCCTGTGCAGGTGCAGTGCAGGGACATTGGGGGCAACGGGTTCCAAGGGCCCATGCCAGTCAGCTGGGGCAGTCTTGAGAAGCTCCAGCTGCTGTGAGTGGCGCTGCCAGCCCTTCCTCCCTCCCTCCCTCCCTCCCTCCCTCCCCCTGCGACCACCACCCATTCCTCGCTCATGCCTTGCTGTGTCTGTTCTCCCGCCTTTCAATCATCTGTTCTGATGCCGCCTCGTTACCTTCTCATCCCTTCCTCTCCCCCACCCGGCCCTCTCTCCCCTCCCCCCGTCTCCCCCCCACCTCTCCCCCCCCTCACAGCAATCTGCAGAAGCTGAATCTCAACGGCTCCTTCCCCACCTTGTGGGCGGGCATGGCGTTGCTGCAGCACTTCATTGCGCCCGCGGCTCACATCCGTGGCCCCTTCCCCTCCTTCCTGCTCACGCTCAACAACATCTCCAGCATGTGAGTTCTAAAATTATTTGCTTTTTTATATATATAACCTTCCCTTAACCAATCTTTGAACTTGCCCCTAGCTGGCGCGTATGCTCCATTCTGCCGTCCCTCGCTCTTCTTCTGCCGTGCCATAGTTGGGCTTTGGCGTGTGTCTGCTGGTGTGTGCAACCTTGTGCGTGCATGCTCTGCTATTCCCCTGGCCTCCTCCGCAGAGTGCTGTACAGCAACGAGCTCTACGGCCCCCTGCCCTCTGCCACCGACCTATTCACTCCGCCCACTCTCACCCCCATGTCATGCCCACTTGCCGCCCACCTGTTAATAGCCTGTGCATCCTTGTGATCTCTATTTGAGGCACATCTCTCCCATCTCTGCAGGCTTCAGGCACCTCGATCTCAATTAAGGTCATCTTTCCCGTCTTTCTTGCTCTCTTTCCCCCTCAACCCTGCCCTCCCCCTGTTGCATGCCCCCTCATCCCCACCCCCTTCTCTCCCCCCCTCCCCCCAGTGACGTCAGTGGCAACGACCTCAATGGCTTTGTGCCCAAGCTGCCGCCCAGTCGCTCCGCGCTCAAGTTCTCGTGAGTCCGCCTCGCACTCACCTTTCACTCACCTCTCACTCACCTCGCACTCACCTCTCACTCACCTCTCACTCACCTCTCACTCACCTCTCACTCACCTCTCACTCACCTTTCACTCACCTCTCACTCACCTCGCACTCACCTCTCACTCAGCTCTCACTCACCTCTCACTCACCTCGCACTCACCTCTCACTCGCCTCTCACTCACCTCTCAACGCCACTCCTCGTCAGTCCGGGCCCTTGTGGCCCTCCTGCTCGGCTCCCTAGTGCTTCCATGCACTGCCTCTCCCTCCTCCCGCTCTCCACCCATCCATCCATTCATCCCCTCACTTGTCCACCTTGTCCCCCCCCCCTCCCGGCCCCTTGCAGATTTTCCACAAACTGCTTCCAGTCGTCAGCGGGCGCAGACCCCTTGCTGGTGGACGGCTCCCACTGCCCCCCACAAAGTGCTCCTGCTTCTACTCCTCACTCGCCCTCGGTGCGCCCCCTCTCTACCCGGTGCTGTGCCATGCCATGCCGTGCCCTTCCTTGCCTTGCTTTGCCACGCCGTTTCTCAAAATATCATGCCTTGGTGCCATGCATGCTTCCTTCCTTGAGTCACCTGCTCCTGTGCCAGCCATTCTCGCATCCTCATCATTTCTCCCTCCCTCCTCTCTACCTGCCCCACCTCCCCCCTCCCCCCTCTCCATCACATCTCATCGCCAGCACCAGCACATTCGTCATCCGCCTCTCCCTCCACCTCCTCCCCAACCACCTCCCCCTCCCCTCCTTCCTCTCCTCCCTCTCCCTCCCCCAGCAATCCCAGCGCCTCTCTTCCCCCCTCTGCCCTTTCCCACTTGGCCGCCTGCCTCCTCGCACTACTGGCTGCTGCCCTGCTGTGAGTGCGTGGAGTGGAGTGGAAGGAACGGCAGCGCGCTGATGAAGGCCTTGCGGCCGAAACGCGCTCGCATGCGCATCCACCCATTCTTAATCTAGTTGATTGGCTGCAAGAGTCTTTCTTTTACTCCATTTCTCTCTAACCTTTCTTAGGTCCAACGTTTAGGACTGGCAGGGTTTTCCTAAGGCTTGCTGCATTAGGATGGGCCTCTGATATACAGGTGTGGCTGTATGGTTGTTTTGTAGGATGCGGCGAGGGAATACGAAATACGATGTTGGTCATAGCAAGATGCAGTATGGTAGTAACTTGGATGTGGCATTACTGCCGGGGCTGCATTGGAGGGACTCTCTGGTATGCCTTCAGTATATTCCATCTTCCAAGCTACTGCTACCTTCGTGTGGGTAATTATGTAACGTAGAAACATTTGCACTTCATCGGAGAGTCATTCATAAGGGGCTTGGAAAGAGCCAAGTTTGAGGGCTTGTCCGGAGTGTAACAAATGGTAGCGTCCCGGGAGGTCACAGGAAGGTACAGTACGGTATTAGTTGCTTTTTGAACGGTTATTAGAGAGTATTAAGTCTCGGTTATGCGACGTCCCCAAACCCTATGCTCTACTTTGGACACCCCCTTACCCTACGGTGGCAAATGCCTCCCCCGCTGATGCGCCATCCTAGCTGTCTGCTGCAGCGGCAGCGGCTGTCCTGAGTTGAATAGTGCACATATTTTTGGATTCAGACACTCGAAGTTTTTGCGCGGTCCGTGCATGTATCTCTGGCCAAAACGCCGGGCAAAATGTGCCTGTACACTTCTCGGGCGGCAACAACCGCAGTTTTGCAAATAAATAAGGCTGGAGTGGCACGTCTGTTCTGCCAAATTGTCGGGTAACCTACCCGATCGCTAGGTCTGCAAGAATTCGCAGTTGAAACGGAGTCTGTTTCAAAACTGATGAGCTGTCGCCAATCGGTAATCAAACTCTTCAGCTTGAGATGACGTGCCTTAAGATTAACCAACCTAAAACCTCCTGAACCTTCCACATTAGAACATTCGTTCTTTACGTGGCGTAATGTCAAGACAATGGCTGGCGACAAAACTGCTAGTGTTTTCGTTAGTCTTAAAGCCAGGGTCTCAAGTACCGAGATCTGGCAGCAACTGTAAAACAGTTGCTGTGTGGTTACCCCGTTTTGAGTGCGCGAAATCGCAATTTGCCCGCTGTGCGACACAACCCCTTTTGCGCCAAGACCATTTGCAAAACAACTTCTAGGTACTCGAGACTTTTGAGTTTCCACGGGGGCTTGCAGCCGTTGTAGGCTTGGTAACCGAACCAAGCCCGTGCCTAGCTGGTTCGGTTTTGTAAAACGAAACCCAATCGAACTCGCCACCCGTCGTCAAAACTCCAACCAAACTTTGCATGTCATCAGCCAATCCCAACCAACCCCTTGACTCCAACTGCAAAACAGTTGCGGTACTTGAGACCCTGGCTTTAAACAATCACTAATCTGATCCCGTCGACGCCTCTCATTGGATGATTTCGAATCTCAAGGTTTATCTTGAACACAAGAGCCTTGGGGTGCGTTTCATGTTACACAGTAAATGTGCTCTTACACTGCGTGATAAGAGCAGGGCATATACGTCATTGTGTCTTAATCCGGATTGTGCGAGTAGCTCGGATGTCTGTAAGAGGGATCATGTGTACTGGTACTGCTATGAGCAGTGTTGCTCCAGCAGGCCCGAGCTGAGCTGATGACGCGCATTCGCGGGCCACTGTCCTCCCCCAATGATACAGCCTGTGGCTCTTCGTCAGGGTTGAAGAAACCGTCGATCCGGCAGGAACAGTTGGGATAAAAACCGCCTGCTTCAGTCATGGCGAAAAAGAAACTCCTAATCCACCAGCCGCGAGCTGGTGATTGCTGGCGTAGCGTGTGGCCTCGTCGCCTAGTTTGTCCCATTCGTGAATCTCAACTCTCCCGATCTCAATCTCTAGCACGGAGCGTCACGTTCAGCAGTTTCCTGTCTGGCGGCGCAGCATCGCGGCTCCCGCCGCGTGTTTCGCAGAAGCTAGAGTACAGTATCAAGCCCTGCTGGCGAAAGATGCAGTGCGTGAGTGCGTGGCTGGGTGGGTCTTGCCTAATGATCGCGGAGACAAAAAAGCACGAGTTTTTGTCCGGGGATGATGTAGCAGCCGTGGAATGCGGTAGACCACACAGAATCATGTCGCCCATCCCACGGCGCGGGTGTCGCTCCAACCGCTTCCGGCATCTCTCCCTCCGCTGCGGTGGCGAGTCGCGGCGTCGCAAGCCAGCCCACCAGAAACCCTACCACTATCCATGGCCCACCAGCAGCACGCTAGACAAGCCTGCTGCTGTCTGTCCATCATCTCGGCACAAGCGGATAAGCGACATGCTCGCTCCGTCTCCCTACGAGCTTATTTCGAGCGTATTCAGCCGTCTGTCATGCTTCTACAAACCGCTGGAACCAGCTAGTACCGTCTGCCGGTTAGTAGTACCCTCGCCAGCAATACACGATCGGAGCTTGTGTTGATCGTATTGGCCCTCACAGACCACCGCGGCCAGCCATGGCTCGTCTAAGCGCGCCGATTCGTCGTTCGCCGGTTTCCCCGCTGTCATCCCTCCCGGTGCTGCTTCTGGTGGCAGCGGCCATGGCAGCGCCGCCGCCCCCCGCGCCGTCGTCGATGGACCAAATCCTGCCCGTCCCTGGCGCCAGCACGCCGGACCCCGTCGCCATGGCGGAAAGTAGGTCGCTCGCTCATGGCGGAAAGTAGGTCGCTCGCTCATGGCGGAAAGCAGGTCGCTCGCTCCGTGCCAGTGGACATAGTCGCCGCACCTCACTGAGCGGTACCTGCTCGCACTCCCTACCATGTCACTTTTTGAGAAAAGAAGAGAGAGAGAGATAGAAAATACAAATTAAAAAAACCACGCCGTCCCCAGTCACGTTCTCATGGCCATCATCCCCCACTCTTGGGTTGCGTGCAACATCCCCTGTGCCCCCCTGCCCACTCATGCCCCGCCAGAGGCGGCGCTGCTGGCGTTCGCGTCGGCGCTGGGCGACCATCCGGTGTTCGCGAGGGCCTCGTGGATCAACAAGACCTTGGGAATGTCGTACGAGAACACCAAGCCGTGCGTGCAGTTCTGGCAGAGGATCACGTGCGACGAGAAAGGCCGCGTCAATGCCATGTAAGCAGAACATGCCATGTCAGCAGTCCGTGCCATGTCAGCAGTCAACACTGAGCAAGCCGCCAATGAAGTCAACGTTATGAAAGCAGTGGGCGACAGAGGAGCAGCCATGCCGAGCCATGGAAGCACGCACGCTGCTGATTGCTTGTCAATAAACCAGCGCGGTGCATTCTCATGCCCCCCTCCCCCCCCCTTCGGACGGTGTGTTCCCACCGCCATCGCTACAGATGGGAGGTGTTGCTTCGTCTCTGTAGTGATGCCGCAACACCTCCCATCTGTTGTAGGCGATTTTTTAGAAATTTGAAAAATCAACACGTCCCATCCCATCCCTCCCTCCCACCCCCCAGCGGCGACTTCAACATGGCTGCCATGATGTCATGGGACCCCGCGTTCGAGGTGACTTATGGGTCACTTGCGAGGTGCTCAATAGTCACCTCGCAACACCTCCCACCCCATGCCCCCCTCCCCTCTCCCCCCTCACCCCCCCCCCCAGCGACTTCAACATCGCTGCCATGATGTCGTCGGACCCCGAGTTCGCCCCAGGGGGCAGCGTGGGGCCGCTCAAGGGGCGCGTGCCGTGGGAGCGCATGGGCGCGCTGGGGAACCTGGTGCTCATCAACCTGCAGGGCAACGCCATCCACGGCCCGCCGCTCCCCGCCAACCTCACCGCCTTCCCTAAGCTCTACGAAATGTATGTGCGCCCGCCGTCTCTCCCTCAACCTTTCGTTCCGCCCCCTTTTTCGCGTTATAGAACCAAGGCGTCCCCTGTTATTTTCTGTATTGCCCAAGGCAACCCGTGCACTCGCCTCTGCGGCGCGTTGCCTTCACTCCCTTTGCTCTGACTCCCAATATCCCGCCCTGCACGCCAGCCTTCCTCCCACAATCCTCCCGCATCTATCGCTCCCTCCCCTCCCCTGCGCCCCTGTGTGCCCCCCAGCTTGCTGCAGGGCAACCGCTTCAACGGCTCCCTGCCCGACCAGATTTCCACCCTCAAGGCGCTCAAGAAGCTGTGAGGGTTTCGGGTTGAGGATCCTTAGGATTCGCCTGGCACCTCCCTCACTGTTAAACCCTAACCCTTCATACTCTATACCTCAGGGCAAGCTTTCCATGCTCCATGCTCCATGCTCCATGCTCCATGCTCCATGCTCCATGCTCCATGCTCCTCGCTCCTTGCTCCGTGCCGTTCGGTTCGGCGCATCAAATGCGTTGCAGCTTGTTCCGCTCCGAGGCACCTAGAAATGCATCCCGCTCACCTCTTCTTCCCTCCCCCCTCCCCCCCCCCCTGCTCCCTTGCCCTCTCCCCCCTCGCAGTGACGTGAGTGGGAATCAGATCACGGGCTCCATCCCACGTGGCATCACCACCCTCTCCAATCTGACGTGGCTGGCCATATCGCAGAACCACATGGCGGACGTCCTTCCACCTGAGCTGGGCAACTTGACTCAGATCGTCAAGCTGTAAGGGGCAGCTGTGAGCACATGGCCAAGCTGTGGAGCACATGGCCAAGCTGTGGAGCACATGGCCAAGCTGTGGAGCACATGGCCAAGCTGTGAGCACATGGCCAAGCTGTGAGCACATGGCCAAGCTGTGGAGCACATGGCCAAGCTGTGGAGCACATGGCCAAGCTGTGGAGCACATGGCCAAGCTGTGAGCACATGGCCAAGCTGTGGAGCACATGGCCAAGCTGTGAGCACATGGCCAAGCTGTGAGCACATGGCCAAGCTGTGAGCACATGGCCAAGCTGTAAGGGGCAGGACGGGCCACGTCGCACAAGCTGTCTGAGTTTGCACCTCTGAAGCTCCTCGTTCAGTGGGCACCGTGCAGTGAATGAGCTTGAAACGTGCCCGCACTGCGGTTCCCATCTGCTGCTGCTGCCACTGTGGATGGCGGCTGCTGACAGCCCAACCCATGCCACGCACCTTGCCTCACCCCAAACCCGCATTTCGTGTGCCACTCTCCTTGCTCGCCCCTGTGCTGTTGTGGTGTAGGGACATCGGGGGCAACGGGTTCCAAGGGCCCATGCCCGAGAGCTGGGGCAGTCTTGAGAAGCTCCAGCTGCTGTGAGTGGCGCTCCCCCCCTGCACCCACACCCGCACCTGCATCTCCCACCGCCACCACCACTGCCGCTGTCCCTGCCGCGTCTTCCTCCCCCCCCGCACTAGTTTGTGGCATCCATTGTTCCCTCTGTCATCTTCTTCTCTCCCTCCCAAGTAACCCCCTGTTTTGTGATGCCGCCTCCTCTCCCCCACCCAACCCTCCCCCCCCCCCCCCCCTCTTTTTTCTCCAGCAATCTGCAGAAGCTGAATCTCAACGGCTCCTTCCCCGCCTCGTGGGCGGGCATGACGTCGCTCAATCACTTCATTGCGCCCGCGGCTCACATCCGCGGCCCCTTTCCCTCCTTCCTGCTCGCGCTCAGCAACCTCTCTGACATGTCTGTGCCACCTGCTGCTGCTGCTGCTGCTGCCCCTTCCCTCTGCCGCTCTTTCATCTCGCCCTTCGCTGGCTTGTTTTTGCCCTTCTGTCGTCCTGCGCCCGCCCTCTGTCCTGCCATGCTTGGCCTTTGCTGTGTGTCCGTTGGTGTGTGCGATCCTGTCTGTTTGTGCTGTAGGTGACTTTTGAGTCGACTCAAAAGTCACCTACGTTTGTGCTGTCCCCCTGCCCCCCTCTGCAGAGTGCTCTACAGCAACGAGCTCTACGGCCCCCTGCCTTCTGCTGCTGAGCTCTTCGCTCCGCCCATTCTCACCGCCATGTCAGGCCCACTTGCCGCCCATTCCCATCGCTGTGTGATTCCATCTGACCTTGGAGCACGCTTCCTGCTCATCACTGCCGCTGCATGCCTCAATCCGTAGCGCTGTCCCATGCTCCTCATTCCCAGCCCCCGTTCCCTTTCCCCTCTTCCCTTCTCCCTACTCGTTGTCCCCGCCCCCCTCTCGCCATTGCCATTTTTTAGGACAAAAGGGTTCTCACCTTCCCCCCTTCTCCCCCCCACCCCCCCCCGGGCACCTGCCCCATCCCATCTGCCCTGCGGTCCAACACTGCCCCTTCCCCATGCCCCCCACACCCTCGCCTCCCTCCCCCGCTCCCCTCCCTCACCAGTGACGTCAGCGGCAACTACCTCAACGGCTCTGTGCCCAAGGTGCCGCCCAGTCGCTCCGCGTTCAAGTTCTCGTGAGCCCGCCTCTCACTCGCCTCTCACTCGCCTCTCACTCGCCTCTCACTCACCTCCCAACGCCTTTTCTCGTCAGTCCGAGCTCTTGTGGCCCTCCTGCCCCGCTCCGTAGTGCTTCCATGCACTGCTTCCTCCTCCCCCTCTCCACCCACGCATCTATCCTCCCTCTTCCTCCCTCGCTCCCCCATTCATTCATCCATCCATCCCCTCGCCTGTCCACCTGTCCACCTGTGCCCCCCTTCTCCCCGCCCCTCGCAGCTTTTCCACCAACTGCTTCCAGCCGGCAGCAGGTGCAGACCCCTTGCTGGTGGACAGCTCCCCACTGCCCCCCACAGAGTGCTCCTGCTTCTACTCCTCACTCGCCCTCGGTGCGCTCCCTCTCTACCCCATGCCGTGCTGTGCACTGCCTTGCCTTGCCTTGCCTTGCCATGCTTCGCCATGCCGTCTCCTCCATGACAAACCATGCCTCCCTTATTCATGTCCCTGGACCTCGGTGCCACACATGCATCCCTGCTTCCATCACCTGCCCCTGTGTCGGCCATTGCCGCATCCTCATTGCTCCTCGCTCTCTCCTCCCCCCTCTCCCTCCCATGTCACCACAGGGGAGCCAGCACAGGCAATTTCACCATCCTCCTCTCCCTCCTCCCCCACCACCTCCACCTCCACCTCCTCCCCCTCCTCTCCTCCCTCTCCCTCCCCCAGCAATCCCAGCGCCTCCCTTTCCCCCTCTGCTCTCCCCCACGGGGCCGCCTGCCTCCTCGCGCTGCTGGCTGCTTCCCTGCTGTGAGCGCATGGAGTGGAGTGGAGGGAGCGGGAGGGTGGGCCTCAGATGTGTAGGTGCAGCTGTGGGGATATAGACAGATGCGACATGGAGGAGATACACTGTGTTAAAGCACTGTGGATTTATTGTAGTCCAGCAAATCACAACAAGATGCAGTATGGGCGGACGAAGGTTGGCGGTGGCATTGCTGGCAACATAGAGGGCAGCGGATGGCTGGTGCCCTGTTGTCATGTGCTTACACAGCAGCACCAATGGGTGTTCTACGCTGCTTGTACCACCATGGAAGGAAGGAGGTGCTGGCGGGGGGACTCTGTAACGGGGTGAGCTATCATTGGACATCTTCCAGAAATCATTTATTGCATCCTTGAGGCGCCTAAAAAATAGACTCTGTAACGGGGTGAGCTATCATTAATGATAGTATTTGAGTCGACTAAAAAATCATAATATCATTATAGTGGAATGGAACTGGTATACAGGCACGGTCTTAGAACACCCAATCACAGGAACCCATTCACGGTCAGATTCGAACCTGCAGAGCTAATTCCTGCGGTGGGTGGTGGGTGGGTGGGTGGGTACCACCCACACCCATCTTCCATCCACCCAGCAAGCTCGGTGTGTCGCACCGTATGTATGCAAAGAGGAACCATGCGCATTACCACGAGAAGCCATTCATCAGAGGCTTGGCAGGCACAGGCTTCTTTTTACCTAAGGCAAATGCCTCTCCTACAGAGAAGCACGCATTCCCTTCCTGCCTTCTGCAGTGGCAGCGGCGGTGTTGAGTGCTGCTGCCAGCAGTGTTGAGTGCTGCTGCCAACAGGCTGCAGGAAGGGCTCACTTGCTGGGTGCATGCAACTCAACTCAACCGGCTGCTGTTCATATCCCTCCTCACACCCTCCCTGCTATGCACAGCCCTGCGCACAACTCCTCTTCACTACACTCTCTTCACACCCCTCCCGCCTACCGCAGCTTGCTATCTAACATCTCCCGCAGGTTAGTTAGCTCTTTGAAACTCTCCCTGCAGTCCTCCTTGCGTCCCTCCTCACAGCCCTCCGTGCTTCCCTCCTCACATCCCTGCCGCCGCCACGGCTTCTTCTGCTGACATGGCGCCATCCCCAGACAAACCCATGCCCTGCATTGCTCTCACTACCGTCCCCCCCTCCCCCGCGCTTACCCCCCCCCGCCCCTCTCCTCCATACTCTCTCACCGCCCTCTCCGCATGCACCCCTTCACTCGCACTCCCCCCCACCCCACCGCCCATGGCATCTCCCCCTGGTCTATTCCCCCCAGATCTGTTTCCTTCTGATCTGCTGCCCCCCGACCTGCGACCTTCGCCTGACCCCGCCCCTTGCTGCTGCTGCTGCTGCTGCTGCTGCTGCTGCTGCTGCTGCTGTGAGTACGATTGGAACATCGGGATCCCAAGGTCTGCCACGGCTGCTGTGGCATCCATCCCCATCACCTCTCCACTTGCCTTTCGCGCATGCTGCGCCTGCTGCTGCTGCTGGTACGGCTTGAAAGAAAGCATCTCCACCTGCTGCTGCTGCTGGTGTTGTTGATATTGTTGCTGTGGTTGCTGCTGCTGCTGGCCCAACTCCTGTCCGGCTGCGCCGTTCCCCTGCGGCGCGCGCTGCTCCCCGCCATCCTCGGGAATGGGTTTCATCTCAGGAGCCCCCTGCGGGTGCTTCACTCGCCCCGAGGACGTGGGCGACACGGACGACTTGGGCTTGGCACGCGCGTGGCGCTGCTTGCGTGCGCGCGACGGGCCGTGCACGAGGCGCGTGAAGCCGAGGAAGCTGATGGTGCCATCGAAGTTGGTCCACTCGTCCAGGAGGGCCGCGTTTGCCATCGACTCCACCTGGCCCAGCTCCTGGGGAAGGGGAGTGGGGGGGAGGGGCAAGGAGGGCGAGGAGGGGGAATGAGGGGGAACGGCGGGGGGGGGGCTATTTGTAGGCAGTTCTACATAGCTGAGGGAAGTCATGGTGCCGTCCAAGTTGGTCCAGGAGGGCCGCGTTGGCCATGGATGGACTCCACCTGGCCCAGCTCCACCTGGCCCAGCTCCACCTGGCTCTGCACAGCCCAGGAAGCTGATAGTGCCGTCAAAGTTGGTCCACTCGTCCAGGAGGGCCGCGCTCGCCATCAACTCCACCTGGCCCAGCTCCTGGTGAAAGGGGGGAAAGGGGGAGAGGCGGCAGGGGGGAGGGAAAGGGGGCGTGTTGAAAGTATGGGAGGGGGTTTGTGCCCAGCGGGGGACGCTGATGGTGCGGGAGAGCGGGAGCAGCACCGGTTCGCAAGGAACAGAGGCGCTGTACCTTCACAAGCTCGTCGATGGTCACGTGCGCCTTGCCCCCCCGCACAAACGTCTGGTACGCCACCCGCGCACGCTCAGGCCAGTTGGGGAGCGACTCGAGCTGAAAGACGTTGAGCACAGCGGCACAGAAGTCGGTGAAGGGCATTCGGGAGATGCGCGCTGGCTCAAGCTGGAAAAGTGGGGAGGGGGGGGGGGGGGGGGGGGGGAATTTAGGGGGAATGGTGGGACGGGAGAAGGGTTTAGGGTAGTAAATACATGATTTAATTGATGGTGGATGCACGTGTTGTCGTGAGGACTGTGGAGAGGAAAGGTTCCTTCAGAACATGCGAGTGCTTTTGAGGCGCCTACAAAAAGGGTTCTTTGACAACATGCGAGCATGGGAGCACGTGCGCGGGCACTCTGGGCCAATCCATGAGAGCGATTGAATGGCGGCTCATCTCATGGCAGCCCGGTCTCACCGTCTTGAGCAGGTCGATGGTCTGCGACTCCCTCATCGCATCCGTGGCCACGCGCTGCATGGCCTGCTCGCATGGCGCCGCACGCAGCACACGGGGGGGGGAGGCAGGAAGGCAGGAAGGCCGGCAGGGAGAGTCGCAGGGCGATGTGTTTAGGGAGGTGCTGTCTCGGCACGAGAGTGAGGGAACAAAAAAAAGAACAAGAAGAAGAACAACAAGAAGAACAAGAGCCAATTGTGGGCACCGAGTCAACGGAGTCAGTGCTCCTTGAAAGTCAAGGGTAGTCAGCGCGCGCTCACGTTCTTGAGGTCGCTGAAGTCGATTAGCCCATCGCCGTCCATGTCAAAGTACCCAAACTGCGCCCTCAGGTACACCAGCTCGTCCTCCGTCAGTGTGGGCACCAGCGCCTGCCAGGGGAAGGGAGGGAGGGGAGGGGGCGCAGAGGGGAGGAGAGAGGACGAGGGCAGAGAGGGAGTAAGGCAGAGTAAGGCACTCGGGTACCGCAGGTCGTCCTCAGTGAGCGTGGGTGGCAGGGCGTGGTGGGTGGGTGGGCGAAGAGAGTGGGTGAGATGGGAGCACACCAGCCACGTCACTCAATGGTACGTCATGGGAGCCTGCTACAGGCTCTGTCCATCAATGCTGCATCTCTCAATGCCACGTCACTCAATGCTACGTCATTCAATGCCACGTAACTCATTGCCACGTCACTCACCTTGAGCCCCGCCCGTCGCAGCGAGGAGAAGGAGTAGAACGCGCGCAAGCTCTTGTACACCACAATGTCCAGCGGCACCCTGGCGCTGCTGCTGCGGATCCATGGGTGCGCTGGAGAATGGGGAGGGAAGGGGGAGTCACATCTTGAGCCCTCTAAGGATGAGGGAGGAAAGGGTGAATCTAGGCCATGCAGCGGCTTTTATGCACCACAATGCCCGGCGGCACCTTGGCGCTGCTGCTGCGGATCCATGGGTGCGCTGGAGGAGGGAAAGGAAAGGGGGGGGGAGAGGGGGAAGGGGGGAGAGGGAGTCGGAAGAATGGGGAGGGAGGGAGGGGAGAGGGGGGATGTGGCGGAGAGGATTTTTAGCATGAGGCACATCTCAAGAATCAACAGCAAACATGTGGTGGGAAGAGCCACATCTTGAGCCCTCTAAGGATGAGGGAGGAAAGGGTGAATCTAGGCCATGCAGCTGCTGCTACAGGGCTACCGAGGAATGGCTACCGAGGAATGGCTACCGAGGAATGGATGCCGAGAAAAGGCAGGAACAAGAGGGGCATGGGGTGGAAAATGACGTCAAGTGCCACTCACTCAGCGCCTGGGCGGCAGTGGGGCGGCGGCGGTAGTCTTTAGTCAACAACCGGTGCACAAAGTCCCGCCCGGCATGCGACACCGCCGGCCATGGCGCGTCAATCAGATTCGGCTCCAGCCTCAAAACTGCCCGGAAAATGCCCGACTCTGTTCTCGCCCAGAAGGGCCGTGACCCCGACAGGAGAATGTACGCGATGACCCCGACGGACCAGACGTCAGCCTCGGCGCCGTAGGCTCGGTGCAGCACCTCCGGGGCGATGTAGTACGCCGACCCCACGATGTCGTTGAGCTTCTGGTCTGGCCGCACGAAGTCAGACAGCCCGAAGTCGATGGCGCGCAGCGCCGAGCCCTCGTCGTGCGACTTGAACAGAAAGTTCTGCATGGGGGAGCGGAGGTGGCGGTGGTGGTGGAAGGGGGGAGGGAGGGAGGAAGGCGGCAGGTTTTAGACCATGGAGGACGGAGCAGGAATGCGTGAGGAGTCTATTTTTGAGGCGCCTCAAAAATAGACCTCACGCTGTGGAGGACGGAGTAGGAACGCCATCACATGATGATCAAGAATCCTCGGGATGATCAAGAATTCTCGGGATGATCAAGAAACGTAGCTTCTTAGGCTCCTCGGGTCTGGGGCTCCTTTCACGATTGCTGCTCTACTGCATGCCTTAAGCTGCTCACCTCGGGCTTTAAGTTGCGGTGCACCACGCCCTGCTGGTGCACATACCTCCGGCTTTAAGTCGCGGTGCACCACGCCCTGCTGGTGCACATACCTCGGGCTTTAAGTCGCGGTGCACGACGCCCTGCTGGTGCAGGAACGCAATGATGTTGAGAATCTGCCGCATCACCTCCCGCGCCTCGTGCTCCGGGTACTTGCCGCCCCTGACAGTGCGGCATGGATGGGGGTTGAGAGGCGTGGGTAGTGGAGAGGGGAGCAGAGACAGGTGTGGGGAGACGGGGGGGCGAGGGGAAGGGCGAAAGGGGAGAGCCAGAGGGGGCATGGGGATGCAAGAGAGGGGTGCAGAAGGGAGAAGGGGAAGACGGGCGATGGGAGCAAGAGGAGGGCAGATGGAGAGGCATGGAAGGACAAGATGATCGAGGGATTGAGGAGGGCACGCATTGAGGAGGGGGACGCATTGAGGAGGGAAAGGAACGTGAGAAAGAAGGCAAAGCCATCAAGGAGAAAGTGAAGGGAAAAGGGGCAGTACCGTTGCAGCAGGCGCTCGAGCAGCTCCCCGCCCTCGCACAACCTGATGACGGGGTCATGGGGGGGGGCGCGGCCATGGGGAGCCGTCATGGCGGTGGCACGGCCGAGACAAGGCAGGCAAAATCGCAGCGAAGAGGGACAGGGGACGGGGAGAAATGAGGGGCGGGGGGAGGAGAGGGCGGGAGAGGGGAGAAGGCAGGCAAAATCGCAGGAGGAAGAGGCGGGGAGTAGCTGAGTTGTGAAGCTGATGAGTTACTCGTTGTACTCGTTATAGCGGCACTCACTCCATGGCTATGTACACGTTGAGTTGGTCCTCATAGGCGTCGAAGAACCGCACGGCAAACTCCTGTGGCCCCAGCGCCCGCATCAGCCGCACCTCGCGCTTCACGTCCTCCACTGCTATCACCGTCGTCATCTGGGGGGGGGGTGGGGGGGGGGAGAACAGGAGGACACGGGGAGGGGATATCATCACGGGGAGGGGATATCATCACGGGGAGGGGATATCATCACGGGGAGGGGATATCACCTTCTGCTTCACGTCCTCCACCGTTATCACCGTCGTCATCTGGGGGGGGGGGGAGAGACGACAGGGGGAAGGGAATAGCATCCGGCGCACCTCGTGCCTCACGTCCTCCACCGCTGTCACCGACGTCATCTAGAGAGGGAGGAAGGGGGGAGCGGGGGGGGAGGGGGGGAAACAGAGTGAACAGAGGGACAAGGGAAAGGGGAAAGGGGAAAGGGTATATCATGTATGGATAAGAGGGGGAAGAGTAGAGCGGAGAAGAGGGAGGAGCAGTAAGGGAGGACTCTACACAGGCACAGCAGCAGCAGGCAAGCCCACGAAACCCTGGAATGCGCCCCGCGACCATACACCCGTTTCTCCGGGTAAACTGCTCACATTAGCCTTGGGGATGACTTTGATGGCGCACTGCACGCCCTTCACCTCGCCCTTCTTCCCCGTGGCGGCGCACGTGTGTCCGAAGTGCCCGCGCCCCACCTCGTGCTCCAGCTCGTACTTGGCGTTAATATTCCGCGAGTACCCGAACTTCTTATTCAGCTCCTTCCCCTCATACCCCTCCCCCGACCCGCCGCTGCTCCCCGGTCCCCCCACGCCCCCCCCTGCGCCGAACCCGCCGCCGCCCCCTCCGCCGACCACGACCCCCACGGGGATCTGGTTTCCTCCCCCCGCCGAGCCCTCCGCCGCGCCCATCTGCTTCCCGCGCTCGTCGTCGCGCAACCGACTGACGCGCGCCTTTTCCGCCGCCTGCTGCAGAATGCTCCCCGCGAGCCCGTCGAAGGTGGCGGGCGCGGGGGAGAAGTTGGAGAGGTGGATGGCGGGGGTGCCCATCACCGACATCGCGGGCGACTCGAACACCGCGTTCCGCCGATCCTCGAACGGACTCATCCCCGTCCTCCCCCCGCCGCCAGCCCCCACCGCGTTCCCCGCGCCACTTCCTCCCCCCGTTGCATCCCCCCCTCCCCCCGCTCCGCTATCCGCGCTCGATCCTTGAGCAATTTCTCCGTTCCGCTGGTGAGCTTGCGCCTCCGCGGCGCCCCTCTCCGGCGGCTTCTCATTGGCGAAGACTAGCTCCTCCGGCTCTTCCGGCGGGGCGGCGCTTTTATGTCGCCCCTTGTGCTTCCTCCCCCCAGGCTGCTCGCCATCCGCTAGTGGCTTACCCGCGCACGCACCCATGCGGACACGAACCGCGTTATAGATGACCGAATGATGTTCCTCTAACACTCAAGGAGAGCATTGGCAGTTACGCGAGATAAATAAGAGTGCGGGTATTCCTGAAGGTGCCAGGGTTTAATTAACTCTGCACGGCCGATCCCGTCTTATCTGAGCGAACCGCGACATAGCTCTTAACTCATTAAGGCCGTCAACGCTTTCGATAGCGTTGTCGCCACCTCGGCGATTGTCGGTTTCTGTTCCGGCTCGTCGGACTTCCAAAAGGCGCAACGGCATCGCATTGATCTTACTGCTGTCGGTGGTGATGCAATAACTACTAACCAGCATTTGGCGCGCAGCGTTATTCCGTGGTTGTTGGCTTTGCCTGACCCATCATGCGCGCGCAAACGCCCACTGGCGGGAGTTGCTCTCCCAGGCGCCTCCCCTCCCCGCTGTACTGGCGCTTCTCCGCTCAGTGATGGGGACCGAGGGGAGGGCGGAGTCGAGAGCGTGTTCCTAGCCATGCGCTGATTGGTCATCAGAATCACCGTGGCCCCATGAAGTTGGGAGCGACTTTAACGGCTCTTCCCATTGGTTGACTTTCGAAATGGTGACTGTGCCCTCAGAAGCTGGCTGGGGAGTTTGGGGCGGGTGGGGAAGGGCGGGGGTGTGCGTGTGGTGAAGTGAAGTGGTTGGGATCATGGGATCACTTCATTGGCTGGCTGAGACTGGCTGTGTTCAGGCTGCCCGCACCAACCACGTCGCGACGGTCTTGTTGGAACAGCAGTTGCCAGCAGTGCCTTGTCCAGTTAGAGCGCACATGACGAGTCAGCAAAACTGGAAGCATTCGCATCCGCTACACCGTGTCTCTGATTCCTTAACCCTGATGAACTACACTTTTTCGCCATACAAGCTCTCCATTAACTTCAGGAACCCTGTGCAAATACCGGTAGACCGTTTGGGAGAGCATGGGCTATGCCTAAAGTGGGTGCTTACATTAGAAACTATCTTATAAATTACAAGGGGGTAATAGAGAAGCAAACAGCAGCAAACGTGTGAGATTTTGTGGTCTGGCAATCAAATCGCATCTCCTGCAGAGTGTGATGTTCAAGGCCCAGGCACACTCAGTGCCTCTAGCCCGAAACAGCACCACACAAGCCCCTCCAACATCCCCATGATACGTCCTTCCCCACCCAGCATCACACCTGTTGGGCTGAGAAAAGCCCTTAGGATCTTTTGCAGAGACTAAGTCCCAGCTTGTAGAGACTTGAGACTTGGAGTAGTGCAGCGGAAATTGAGACAGTTGAACCCTTGTACTAGTATGTGAGAACAAGTGATTGATTAAAGAAACAAGCATACAGCAATATATAGAAGATAAGAAAGCAGTTGTAGAATACAGTTACAGGAACGGTTTATCGAGTCGCACAGCGACTCGATTGCCGCTTCGGTTACCATCCGTGATGTTGTAACGGTCAGTCGCAACCTCCAGTTGCGACCTTTCGAGTCCTTTCGCATTCTTTGTCCGCCCCCTCGTGTAACCTCCGTTGACTCGCGTGCTCCCCTGTAATCTTCCTCGAGTACAGTGTTACACTTCAGAAACGCTTAAGTCCTTGAGATATTTCCAACACTCCCCTTCGTTTCTGGAGTGCTGGAGTGTTCAGATCCGGTGACGTTTGTTTGCCCGGTTAGGAGCATGCAGTAGTCGAATTTTGCTTTCGCCAATTTCTTCGTCAGATAATCTGCGGCCATTTCTGTCGTCGGGCAGTAACTGAGTTGAAGTCTCCCCTTCGCGATTTCATCCTTGACGAAGAAGTACCGCAGGGCGATGTGCTTGGTTCGGTTGGCGAAGCCGTCCTTGTTCGCGATTTTTATCGCAGATTGGTTGTCGCAGAGGAGTGAGAAGGTGGGCAGGGTCGCGATCTTCGCTTCTTCGAGTAACTCTCGTAGGTAGAGTCCTTCCTTGGTCGCAGTACAAAGGGCGATATACTCTGCTTCAGCCGAGGATAGTGCGATTAACTCCTGCTTGCTCGACTGCCAGGAGATAGTTCCGATAGGTTCTAGTCGGTAGATGTAGCCCGTCCTAGACCGTCGATTTTCGCTGTCTCCCGCGTGGTCGGCGTCGACGTATCCGAGTAGTCGTACGGACGGTGTTGTTGCCTTGCTGTAGGTGAGCCCGATCGTCGGCGTGGAGACGAAGTAGAGTAGCGCTCGATTGAGTTCTTCGAGATCTTCCTGTTGCGGCTGCTTCAGATGTGTCGCCAGCTGACTCGCACTATAGGATAGGTCGGGTCGGCAGGTTACTGTTGCGAATAGTAGGCAGCCGAGCTTCTGTTGATACTCCTGGATTTGTTTCGCGGGGAGTTTTGTGGAGGCGCTACTGTTGTTCCCGTAGCGGTAGGGAGTTGGGACCGCAGTCGGTGTTAGACCGAATTTCTTCGCGACGGTGCTTGAGTACTTTCCAGCGTGTAGGTAGAACGCCGTGTCGTCTTCGACGACGTTCAGTCCTAGGTACTGCGTCACCTCGTCGGACACCGTGAGCGTTAGGTCCCTTTTCAGCTCCCCTTCGAACCAGGTGACGATGTCGGTGGTAGAACCGATGTAGAGCAGGTCGTCGACGTAGACGATGAGCAGAATGTAATCTCTTCCCTTCTGTAGTCGGTACATGCCTTGGTCATGTGGTAACTGTAGGAATCCGATTTTTACGAGCCGGCCGTGAAGGTGCTGCTGCCAGAGCCGTGGGGCTTGCTTGATCCCGTAAAGGGATTTTTCCAGCTGGCATACTTTTGAAGGGTCGTCGATGAATCCGTGGGGTTGTTCGACGAAGATTTCGGCGTCCACAGGTGCGTACAAGAAGGCGTTTGCAACGTCGATTTGCCGTAGTGGTAGTTTCTTCGTGGCCGCGATGGCGAGTAGGATGCGCAGGGAGGTGTGACGGGAGACTGGAGCGAAGGTTTCTGTGTAGTCGGTTCCGTATCGTTGATCGAAGCCTCGTACGACCCATCGAGCTTTGAATCGTTCGATGGAGCCGTCTGAGTTGGTCTTGATGCGGTACACCCATTTCCCCGAGAGAATGTTCTTCCCGTTGATGCTCGTTGCAGGTACCAGTTTCCATGTTTCTCGGTCTTGCAGAGCTTTTAACTCTTTTTCCATCGCTTCCTTCCATTGTGCCTTATGTTCCCCCCCCAGAGCCTGCGACAGGGTCGACGGCTCGCGCGGAGAAGGCGGCGGCGGGTGCTGGACGGAGACCCATAGTCCTAGGATCTGCAGTCCCGTGGCTGTGTGTCGAGGGGAGTTTTCATTCTCGGGATAAGCTGCTTCATCACCGTCTTCAGGATCGGGTAAGAAGTTTGGCCCGATGCGTTCGGAAATATTCGAGTCGACGGGGTGTGGTGTAGCGTAGCCTTGGTCAGCGAAGTGGTAAAAGGTGTCGAGGTTGTTGCTATCGAGGGGATTATCTTCATCGAGTGGAACAGGTACGGAGCAGTAGGGGAGTGGTCCGGCAGCCTCCGAGGCTCCAGGGACGTCTTCTTCTGCTGCGTCAGCTTCGGCAGCATGGTCAGCGAAGGAGCGAAGGCCCGCGAAGCCGTCGGTGGGGTCGTCTGAGTTGGCAATGTTGTCCAGGTAATGCTGCAGCGTCAGTCGCTCGTAGAAGATAACATCACGTGATGCCACCGTATTTTTGTCGTGTATGTCGAGAATCTTCCACGCGTGAAAATGTTTGGCGATGCCGAGGTGTAGTCCCCACCGAGCTCGTTGAGTGAAGCGTCCTGCTCGAGCTGTGTGGGGTCTGTATTGTACCATGCAGCCGAAAACTCGAAGTAATTTTGTGCTGCCCCTTTTTCCCGTCCACAGCAGGTGCGGTGATGCGTTGTTGGGGAGCGATGACGAGGACAACAGGTTGTGCAGGTGGACTGCATGTGTCATCGCGTCTGGCCACAGTGTATTGGGCAGTCTCATCCCCAGGAGCAGCTTTCGCATCGTCGTCTGCAAGGTCCGGTTCATGCGTTCGGCGACCCCCTGCTGCTGGTGAGCGTATGGTAGGGACACCAGGCGCTTGATTCCTCTTTCCGCCAGATAGGTCCTGAAGCGTTGTGACTGGTATTCTAGGGCACCGTCTGACTGGAAGCTTTTGAGCTTGGTTCCTGATTCCCGCTCGGCGATGGGGAGCCATGTTGTGAAGGCGTCGAAGGCTTGATCGCGCGTCTTGAGGTTGTAATGCCAAGTGTATCTTGTTGCTGCATCGACGAAGGTGATGACGTAGTTGAAGTCGGCTTCCGTGTCGTCTCGAGGCATGTTCAAGATGTCGCTGTAGACTTTTTCCATCGTTGCATATGCAGGCGCGCTTGGATTATGATGGGATGGGAAGGGTTGATGAGGAAGATCTGCTTCGGGGCACGTGAAGCATCGTGCTCTTGGTCGGCGAAGTTCTTGGCCGCTCGTCGTTAGAAGGGCGTTACGTTCTAACACCTCTGCTTGGATTGTTTGAAGTATTGTGCTGTTTGCAGGGTGTCCGAGGCGTTGGTGCCAGATGTCGTCGGGAGCACGGTGACCGGGCGAGCGGTGGTAGATGTCGGCGTTGGAGAAGAACGCGACGACCGAGGCGGGACTTCGACAAGCTTCTCGTGTGGCGGGCATAAGTTGGTCTGCTTCCGTTGGCGGTCCTCGTGTTGATGGTGGTGGTACTCGGCTGGGTCCTGCTGCCGATACTGCAGGTGATGGTTTTGTTGGGACACTTGCGGGTACTTGTCTTTCTTGTCTGATAACTGCTAATGCTCGTGTTCTCTCTGCTGCAGGTATGGTGTTGGAGTGCCAGAAGCCGTCACTGTCGAAGTCGGGATCAAGATCCGGCGGGTGAGTCCAGGCGGCGAACGATACGATGCCATCGCTGTCGGCAGTTCCGCGGTCGGGGACGAAGTCCAACACGAAGACACCGGACTTCAGGAGGGCACGACCGATGAAGAGGCCGCCCTTCCCGTGGTAAAGTCGGAACTCGTTGGAGAAGGAGTCGCACTCCAGGTGAATCCCCTTAGCCATTAGTTGGCTTACGCTTAGTAGGTTGTATCCCAGATTGTCGACGATGAGGACTTTGTTGAGCTGAAGAATAACGTTTGTCTCCATTGATTGTAACTGAACCACGCCTTGTCTGTTTGTTTTCAGGTTTTCGTTGTTGGCGACGGTGATGACGACGTCGCGGTTGAGGCGTCGCTCGTGTTGTACGAAGCGTCCGGAGGAGCACATGTGCTGACCGCAGCAACTGTCCAAGAACCAGGTGTTCCGCCCGGTGGGTTCGGCGTTAGCGACTGCAGCGTATGTCGGGTTGACCTGAAGTCCTTGCGAGCGCGGCGGCGGGAATTCCTCTTCGTCTGGTGCGTAAGTGGGTGGTGAAGCGGGTGCGCAGTTGTCGATGTGTACCATGCAGTTGATGATGTTGGGTGTTTGTTGTGCAGATGTTGAAGAGCGCCTTGGAGGACTTGCTTGAGTGGGAGCGACTTGTGGGTCTGCTGCACGGTAAACGCGAGGGCGGTTGCAGTTGACCTTGGAGTGCCCGGAAGTCTGACAGTTGTGGCAGAACGGCGGCACGATGGTGAGTCCTCGGTTGTCGCGTTGATCTTGCTTGCTGCGTCGGTTGTAGTTGTTGTCATTTCTTCTTTGAGTGTAGAAGACTAACTGCTGTTGCTTCCTTGGTTGTCTTTCCTCGAACAGATCCATCTCCTGTTGTTCAGCGTGAAGCTCGGCGCAGAGGTGCATCTCCGAAATTCTTCCGTGGGCTCGAAGAAGTGATCGTGTGGTTCTCCATTCTGGCCCGAGCCCGGCGAGGACAAGTGTTACGAAGCTTTCTTCAGTGATCGTTCCTCCGCACCGAAGCAGGCGGTCGCGGAGGGTCTGGCAGCGACTCATATACTGCATCGCCTTTTCCCCGGTCTTCATCTGTATTGTTGTCAGCTGTTGCATGAGTCTGCTTTGTGTCACGCTGTCGTTTGCTTGGTAAAGGCACTTGAGGTGGTGCCATGCGAGCTCCGCGGAGTTTCCATAACTCCGATACGTTCTGATGCTCTGCTGCTCTTGTGGTGACAGGTTTCTCAGGAGTACCGTGTACGCCAGCAGCGACTGATACGTGAAGATCTCTTGTTCCTTCCCAGTGCCGTTGCTTGGGAATGGCAGGGACCCGTTGAAGTATCCCAGAAGATGCGCGGCCTCCATCAGCAGCTCGAACTCGAAGCTCCAGGTAAAGAAGTCGTGTCCGTTGAACGGTGAGGATGTCTGAAGTTTGATCACGTGTGAGAACTGCGCCTGTAAACTTAAGATTTCATTCGGTGTTTGTTGTGATGCAGCTGCTGTTGGCTGGGCACGGGGCGGCATGAATTCGAACGTCCCCGGCGAAGAATGATAAGGCGCAAAGGTAGGCGCTTGGTTGTGTCGCCCGAAGGATGAGTTGTCGAGGCTCATCGGCGCTAATCCCATATTCCCTCCATTGCTCTGTGTTGAGTGCGCAGGTGTCCTTGTCTGCTGCTGCTGGTCGAAGTGTGACATGAAGCTGAAGAATCTCTCCATGAGATTCGGGTCCACACTTGAAGAGGGAGACGGAGTCACCATCTCTGGTACTCTTCCCGTTGTTTCTTGAGTAGTCCCGGTCTCTGTCTGCAGTCCTGAGGTGTGCAGACCAGAGTTGCCGTGTTGAGTTTCTTGGGCGCTGGGTGAGCCCGTAGAGACTTTCTTGCCCTTGTTGTCCATGTCTTGTAATCAATGGAGTTGTTGAATCAAGTTGAGTTGCAGGTCGTTGATGGAGCGTAGTTGCTGGGAGTTTGGTCTCTGACCAGCTCTGATACCATGTTGGGCTGAGAAAAGCCCTTAGGATCTTTTGCAGAGACTAAGTCCCAGCTTGTAGAGACTTGAGACTTGGAGTAGTGCAGCGGAAATTGAGACAGTTGAACCCTTGTACTAGTATGTGAGAACAAGTGATTGATTAAAGAAACAAGCATACAGCAATATATAGAAGATAAGAAAGCAGTTGTAGAATACAGTTACAGGAACGGTTTATCGAGTCGCACAGCGACTCGATTGCCGCTTCGGTTACCATCCGTGATGTTGTAACGGTCAGTCGCAACCTCCAGTTGCGACCTTTCGAGTCCTTTCGCATTCTTTGTCCGCCCCCTCGTGTAACCTCCGTTGACTCGCGTGCTCCCCTGTAATCTTCCTCGAGTACAGTGTTACACTTCAGAAACGCTTAAGTCCTTGAGATATTTCCAACAACACCCTCAACCTAAACCTCCTCCCCATCTCTTCCAACCTCCACCTCCCCTCATGCTTGATCCTCTGGGTTATCCGGGCGCCTGGGCACGGGCACAGGCAGGTGATCCCCCTTGGCGCCCTTGGACAGCGCAACCGACCCCGACTTGCTTGACTGCGCGTTCTCGTCCCCAGGCGCCCAGTGCAGCGTCTCACTGTAATTCTGGTAGCTGAACTCGCTGCTCTCATTGGACGACGACGGGTACGTGGAGGACGGGAGCGAGGTGGCGTCCGACTGAGAGGATGACATGATGGAGGCCGAGTCGCGGTGGCTGCCCGCGTAGCTGGAGGTCGCGTGGCCCAGGTTCTCTACGAGCGCCTTGGCCACGTCGCGGATGGTGGGGCGGTTGACCGCCTGGTCCTGCACGCACGTGCGCGCGATGTCGCAGAGCGCGTACAGCTCGTCCAGGTCGAAGTTGCCCTCCAGCTTCGGGTCCACCATGAGAGGGGTCTTCTCCCGGTCCGCCAGGTACTCCTCCGCCTGCAGCGGGGGGGGGGGGGGAGGGGGGAGAGAGGCAGGTACACAGCAACACAGCACAGCACAACACACGTGTCAGAGGTTTAGGGTTGCCAGGAAAGCCGTAGCACACAAGGGGTGTTTTCGCCACAAGACAACTAGGGCCAGCAGGGCCAGCAGGGCCAGCAAGACCAGCAGGCGGGCAGGGAGGCAGGGAGACAGACATACCCAGTAGGCGAGTGGCTGCCACTCATGGATGGACTTGTGGCCGGAGATGAGCTCGAGCAGCACCACGCCGTAGCTGTACACGTCCGACTTCTCCGACAGGATGGACGTGTTGACATACTCGGGGTCCAGGTACCCGAACGACCCGCGCACTGCTGTAGCAGTGGGCACAAGCTGCTCGCTGCCGTCCGTGCCGGCGCCGATGGGCGCTTCCTTGCACAGGCCGAAGTCAGCCACCTTGGAGTAGCCGTCGTCCGACAGCAGGATGTTGGCCGACTTGATATCACTGTTGGTAACGAGAAAGGGGGGGTGGGGGGGGGCAAGGTAGGTGGGTGGAATGGTGAGATGGACTCGCGGGTGTAAGGTGATGGGGCGATTCTAACACATGTGGTAGATGGAGCATTGTGGTGTAGAAGGACATACGTAGCAAGGAAGCACCAGAGAGCAGGAGATCAACGAAAGCGCAGCCACCTCCCAACGTACCGATGGATGAGAGGAGGGTCGGCGCCGTAATGCAGGTACTCGATGCCGAGCGCAACGTGAATGGCGATCTTGGTGCGGCTGTCCCACGAGAGCGGGTACTCCTTGGCACTCTCCCCATGCAGGTGCTCGTAAAGCGACCCCATGGCCATGTACTCGTAGATGAGCGCACGCTCGCCCTTCTCCGCGCAGAACCCCACCAGGTTCACGAGGTGGCGGTGGTGCACGCGAGACAGCAGCTCCACCTCGCGGATGAACTCCACATCGCCCTGCTTCGACACCTGGTCCAGCCGCTTCACAGCCACCAGCTGCCCGTCCTTGAGGGTGGCCTTGTAGACGGTGCCGTAGCCTCCCTTGCCGATGACCGTCTGCCAGTTGTTGGTGGCGGCCTTCATCTGCTTCAGCGAGAACTCGCGAGTAGCCTCTGGGGGAGAGCGGGGGGGGGGGGGTAGGGGAGGGGGGAAAAGAGGGTGTGAGGGCAGGGCGAGGGCTCAGCAGCACACGAGGAGGCATTGCAGAGGGGCAGAGGCAGAGCTTGCTTTTGTGGACAACAAGGGCCAGGAAGGAAAAGGGAAAGCATGGAGCACAGGGGACAGAAGAGCACACAGCGTGGGTGGGAGCGCAAGGCACTTACGGCGGAGGCCCTTGGTGAACATCTTGGAGATGCTCTGGCCGCGCTTGGTGTAGTAGAGGAACCACACCGCGCCGCCCACCGCCGCCACCGCCACCGCCAGCGACACACAGATGCCGATGATCATGGGCGTCTTGGACGCCGGCACGTACTCCGTGGTCTGCACCGTCTCCGTGCCATTGTAGCTGGCGCTGGACAGCTCCGAGGCTGGGGATGGGGGGGAAATGGAGGGAAAGGGGGTGGACAGGGAGAGGAGTGCCGTGTGAGTCTTGGACGCGGTGCCGATGATCATGGGCGTCTTGCACGCCGCCACATACTCCATGGTCTGAACGGTCTCCGTGCCGTTGTAGCTGGCGCTGGACGGCTCCGAGGCTGCACGGATGGACGGCGAAGGGGGGTCGCATGGGGTTGGGCAAGGAGAGAGGTGGCGTGTGAGATGAATGAGTGGCCTTGGAAGCCACTGCTTATGCCGTGCTCTGCACCATCGCCAGGCCGTTGGGGCCCGCGCCGCACAGCTCGAAGGCTGGGGGTGGGTGGGGGGTTGGGGGGGGGAGCGACAGGGGAAGGGAAAGGGGGCACATGTGGAGGGGTCGGAGAGACGGGTGGATTGAGCACCACAGAGCTCGAGACGACATGGGACGGGCTGTTTACGGAAGAGAGGCAGCGCAGTGCAAGCACCATATGTGAGGGTGTTGAGGGGCGGACGTACCGTATTTGAGGGTGTTGTAGAACTTGGTGCAATCAGCGGGGGTCTGCGGCGTCTGGTCCTGCACGGTGGGGTCGTTGGCCGTGTCGAGACAGTTGGTAAAGAACCTGAGGGGGGAGGGGGAGGGGTAGGGGTAGGGGGAGGGGTAGGGGGAGGGGGAGGGGGAGGGGGAGAGGGGCAGGGCCACAAGGCATGGAGATAGGCGCCGGGTGAGAGCTGGAGAGAGGGAGCGCTGACATGGGAGGGGCGGGGAGGCAGCGACGGGCAAGAAAAGCCGAGGGGAAGAAAATCAGGGGGGAAGAAAAACAGAGGGGAAGAAAAACAGGGGGAAGAAAAACAGGGGGGAAGAAAAACAGAGGGGAAGAAAAACAGGGGGGAAGAGGAAGAGGGATCCACAAGACTCACTTGAAGTTGAGCTTGCGGCCGGCGGGCACCGGAGGCACCGTGCCGTTGAGGAAGTTGGAACTCACGTCGCTGCGGCAAGGAGACAAGGGGAGAAAGTTGAAAAAGGGGGGGGGGGGGGGGGGGGGGGGGGGGGGGGGGGGGGGGGGGGGGGGGGGGGGGGGGGTGGAGGAGGAGGGGAGGGAGGGTGTGAGAGATGGGGCAGAGAGAGGCATGAGACAAAGGATGGGTTGAGGATGATGAGGGGGGCAGGGCGAGAAGGGAAGAGAGGGGTGGGTGGGGCGATGTGGGACGGATGAGTGCGGCGCAGAAATGGAGACCAGCAGCACGGCATGAGTGCAGGGGCGGCAGGCAGGGTGTGCGGGGGCAGAAGAGAGATTGAGAGCATGGGCGGAAAGGGGGGGAGGGGGGGGGTGGGACGGGGGGCGCGGGCGGCTCACAGCATGGTGAGCGTCGTGGGCGCGAAGAGTTGGCTAGCGGGCGGCAGTGGGCCCCACAACTCGTTGTTGTAGAGAATGCTGGAGGAGGGGAGGGAGGGAGGGGGAGGAGTGGGGGAAGGTTCAAGTGGCGGCAGAACAGCAGCAAGCGCGCAGGAGGAGGATACAAGTGAATGGGAGGAGAGGATGAGAGGAGAGAAAGGGAGAAGGGAATGAGAGGAGAGAATGGGAGGAGGGACAGGACAGTGGGTGGAAGGAGAAACGGACTGGATGGACCGTGCAAGCAAGCCGTGCAGTAGCTTAAATGTACCATGTATGCTCACATCACATGTGCACCATGTATGCTCACATCACATGTGCGCCATGTATGCTCACATCACATGTGCACCATGTATGCTCACATCACATGTGCACCATGTATGCTCACATCACATGTGCACCATGTATGCTTGCATGCACTGCCACGCGGAGAGACGTGCGTTTGCTGCTGGCGCTCGCTCAAACGTCCTTGATGCTCTTGAGCGTCAGCGGGAACGACGGCAGGCGGCTATGAATTGTTGAAAAGTTTTGAGTATTCTAAAAATTTCTCCTCTGCTGCTGGTGCTGGCGCTGTCATGTCCTTGATGCTCTGGGCGCAGGTCCAGCGGGAACGACGGCAGGCAGCTGTGAATGCGCGCCGCCGCCGCAACCAGGTGCAATGGCCGTGAAACGCGCATTCACAACGAACTGCAAGCAACGGCGCTCACATGTCCTTGATGCTCTTGAGCTTGAGCAGGAACGACGGGAAGCGGCTCTGGATGCGCGCCGCGGGCGCCACGAAGTGCTGCAGTGACGTCATGCCCGCCCACGAGTCCGGAAAGGAGCCGTTGAGATTCAACTTCTGCAGATTGCTGCCAGGGGGGAGAGAAGGGGTGGGGGGGTTGGTGGGGGTGGGTAGGGGCGAGGGAAGGGGGATTGGAAGGTAAAGAGGCGGCATCCGAAGGAGCCGTTGAGATTCAGCTTCTGCAGATTGCTGCGACGCGGGAAAAGGACGAGCGACGAGGCGCGGGGGGAAATGGACAAATGGACAAACGAGTCGTTTTAAAGAGGTGTCGCAAACGGAAGACGCGAGATAAGAGGGCGAACGAGAGATGAAAGGAGTTGGCTGGGTGGACGAACGGGGATGCGGCGCGGGAGCGCAAGGGCGACAGGGAATTAAGCACGCATGGGAGTAATGACGAGCGCGCAGCAGCTCACAGCAGCTGTAGCTAGGAGCGCGAGTGCGCAAGCGAGGGGTACTCACAGCAGCTCCAGCTTCTCGAGCTTGCCCCAGCTCTCCGGCAGCGCGCCTTGGAACGAGTTCCCGCCAACGTCCCTGCAGCGCACCACCACGGCCCAACAACAAAACGCTTAGCTAAGTACGAAGAGCAGAAACCATCACGATGCAGGGTGCTTCTCGTTGGAAACCATCGCGAATTGGCGAATCGGCGAAATAGCGAAATTGACGATCTGGCGACTTGGCGTGTCGGCGGTGCTTACAGCTTCTTGATTTGAGTCAACTGGCCGAGTTCGGGCGGCAGCACGTCGGCCATCTTGTTCTGCGATATGGCGAGCCACGTCAGATTGCTCAGCGTCGCGATGCCACGTGGAATGGTCCCCGTGATCTGATTCAGGCTCACGTCCCTGGGGAGGGGGGGACGGGGTGGGGGGCGAGTGCGGGGCGGCGGGCGTATGTGGGGCGGGGGAGGAGGGAGAGAGGGGGAGCGATGTGACGCGCGGAACAGACGATCGAGGCTCGGATGACGGGGAACGTGCGAAGCGACAGATTACTGGTTGGGGCTTGAGACACCTCGGAAGATATAAGCGTGGGATGCAACTCGAGGCACGCAAGTCAGCGACGCTCGCATCGAAGGTACGGCTTGTAGGCGCGGGGAAGCCAAGGATAGGACAAGCGTACGGCTTGTAGGCGCAGGGAGGCCAAGGATAAGAGGATAAGAGGATAGGACGAGCGTACATTTTCTCGAGCGACTTGAGCGCGGAGATCTCGTTGGGCATGGGGCCCACGAACCGGTTGTCCTGGAACATGCTGCATGCCGCGCAGCACCGGGCAGCACCGCAAAGCACACACACGCAACGAAGCACGCACACAGAGAGAAAGACAGAGGCGGCAGGAGTCGCAAGCGTGAGACGGTTAGGCAGAGATTTGGTGCATCGGCGAACGAGTTGGAGCGAGCTAGCGGACGACGAATCGGCGAGTTAGAAACATCTCAAACACAGCCACGGCGGAAACGACGCAGCGACCGACTGCGAGGCCGGCATTCGCGAAACGAAGACGGGCGCGCGGCTCACATTTCCTTGAGCTTGGAGAACTTGGAGATGATGGGCGGCAGCACGGGCCCGTACACGTCGTTGCCCTGCAGATTAATCAGCACGAGGTTCTCGAGCGCCGTCATCTTCGCCCACGGAATCTGCCCGTTCAGCGCGCCGGGAGTCTCCCCGCGCGCGTACGACTGGTCCTTCCCCACCATAAACGAGTTCTGTATGTCGCTGCGCGGAGACGGGAGGGAGCGGCGCGGAGAGAAGGGATGCGGCGCCAGTGGACGGAAGGTCAAGTAGGCTTTAAGGAGGAGCGGATAAGGAGCTCGGAATTATCTAGTCAACTTGTCAAAACGGATAATGTGCGATTGTACGATGAAAGGGGGGGCTTTGGTATGGGGGGGACGGTGGGAGTCGGAGGTGTGGTTGTGGCTTACATGGCGTTGACTCGGCCTTCGATGTCGCACGTGATCCACTGCCAGAACTGCACGCACGGCTTGGACATCTCGTACTTCATGCCGAGCGATATGTTCGCCCACGACCCCCACTTGAAGAACACCGGATGGTTGTCGAACGCCTTCGCGAACGCTAGGAGCGCCGCCTCTGCACAGGCAACCGCCATGGATGGAGGTCAGAGGCGAAGGTCTTGATACTCACACCGCGTCAATGATACTGTTAATGGCCGTTTCGAGATGTAGTCGCAGCGCGGTGGGAATTGAGAAGCCGAAAAACAAGCGCATTAATATTTTAGACGAGCGGCAAAACAAACGCAATGAAGAGCGCGAGAGGCGGTGTTCGTACTTTCGGCCATGGCGACGGCGTCGGGCGTGGAGAATCCTGGAATCGGTTGAATCTCATTGGAGGCATTTCCTGGAGGGGGACTGCCGGGCGGTGGTTGTTGTTGCGCGGAGGCTGACGTGATCCCTACTAGGACTACCAGAACTGCTAGTAGTGACGGCCAACACTGTCGTAACCCCATGTTGGGCCAACTGAGGAATGCGTCGGGTTTGTCGGTAGGCTGCACTCAGGTTGGACTAAGAAATAAGACTGTCCTCCACAAGGTAACTCTGATGTGCGCTTCACATACGTTGTGTGTTGCACCAAAAGCGCAGCAGCCTCACAAGCTTCACCTTGGCGGATAGGACGACAGGAAGAAAACTTTGATGGAACAATAATGTTGAGCTGAGGGTGGTTGGGGGAGTGAATCAAGCCATCGTAGGAGCCGTGCGGAGGGTTTTGTGCAGCCTGTGGAACGCGATGGAGTCGGGGGAAGGGGGGAGCTTTACCGACTAGGGGGGAAAAAGAGGAGGGGGGGAGGAGGAGGGAAAGGGGAACGACCGCCCCAGCAAGCCCACCGAACCGAACTAACCGCCAACAGCAGCTGTCTTTCTGCGCATAGCCTCCCAGCTCCGCGCGGGCATTCAGTCCGGTTTCGGTAGGTTCGGATGTGCGAACTCCGCATGCGCGTGCCATCCTTCGACAAAGCCTGGCTGACTGAGAGAAACCGTTTCTCGTCCACCAAAGCCTAAAAAACCAAACATAACCGATAGTTATCGGGATCTACGGGCCGGGTTTATGGCGGAACGAGTACCAAAATGCTCGAAACTAAACGCTACGACTCCTGTTTGATTGGGGGGTGGACTACCAGCAACATGCTCCTCCTCCTCGCAGCCAGCACAACTCCCTTGATGCATAGACGCGCAAATCTCGATAGGATGGATCGCAATTTTCGGGTAACTGTCAATAAACTTTTGAAGTTTCAGAAATTCCTGGGATGTTACACTTCGCCTTGTTGTGGACATCAGGGATCACAGCCAGCTGGCACATGCCTACAGTGCTGCCTGAGGTGCCCTGGCGGTCCCCTGATGGTGAGTCCCCCAACCAAAAAGACCCTGTCTGCTGAGGTTGGTGAGCAGGACAAAGAACTGCGGCCCCGCCAAGGCAGCCGCCGTTTCCCATTCGGGTCTCTTGTGTGTGACGTGAGCACCACAAGGGCGCCAACCACTTCCTCCCTTGGCGAATCAGATGGATTTCCAGCTGTCGCGAACACGAAACCTACCTCTGAGAGAGGTCACTTTTCATTTGAGGGACTCAGTGTAAACAAGTCCTTGAAACCGTACACCACGTCGTTTGGACAGGTAACCACCTGAAGTACCGGCTGGTCAATTTCGAAAAGGACATTGTATGCAGCTCTTTGTACAGTATCACCACATCCAGTGTGGAGCAGACCATCCGAGGCGCGGGGACAAGAACAGCACCTAGCACGTGTCACACATGCTGCTCGAGTCAGCACTACTGTAGACGTGGCTTGGTTGATCCCATCCTTCGCTGCGACCACTCCACCCAATGACAAGCAACTCGCCAATGACAGAAGCGCTATGATTTCAGTTACTGCTACGATGACACACCATAACCGTGTCTTCCAGTTACTGTTTACAATAACACACCATAGTCATAACTTTCACATGCAACACACCTTATTTTTCAATATTCCAAGACATTGCTAACCCCCTACAATCATGAATACAGCCATTAATCTGAGCCATTCTAGTCCAGCATGCTCAGAAAACCCCTGCTACCAAAACCAATCCATATCGCCAGACTTCTCATCCTCGGCCCAGGCTCCCCAGCGACCCTTGGGTGTCAGTGCGGACCCGACATCCTCCCTCCGACCATCCATCCCAACAGTCCTACACTCTACCGCACACCCCCCTAACCCCCCCAAAACACCACCTACTTTCTGCAGTGTAAGCACCTGCTGATTCGCCCCCTCCACAAATGCATCGTCCACACCATTCACATCACCCATTGCCCCATGCCTCAACCTGCAGCTTTCCTTGTAGCTGCCTCCATCCTCCCTAAAAGAGGACGGTGCAAGCAGGCTGCGACGGCGCGAGGGGAAGCCGCCACTGCTGCTGCCAGGGCCGCTATCCTGCGACACGCTCCTCGGCACCCCAGCCGACACTGGGATTTCCAGGGAGGAGGAGCGCGGTACTCTGGGCTGAGATGATGACGAGGCGAGGCGGGAGGAAGAGGCAAAAGCATAGCTATCATGGGAGGCTGAGGGGCGGAGAGACGACGGGCGCGAGGAGGAGAAGCACCTAGGGGAAGCACTCAGAGACCCCCCCCCCCCTCCACTCCTGCCCGCAGCAGCAGCGGCACCATCAGCAGCATCTGAGCTAGTAGAAGCACATTCTGCAGAGGCAGAAGCAAAGATTGAAGTGTGGGGCCGGCGAGGGGAGCTGACTGCTTCAAGAGCCTTCTTAGCAGCGCCGACCACTCCTCTGTGGCTCAGAACGCTGAATAGGCGCCTGCCGGGGGTCGATGCCTCGGCCACGCGCTGCTGCGGGCCGTCAGGGAAAGCATAGGGGTCCACAGAGTTGCACTGGGGAGCTGGAATGCTGTTGAGGTCGCGCTTGGGCTCGGAGCGTTGCTTGCGCAGGGAGCGGCTGTCGTCTGAGGAGACAGAGCGGGCGATGAGGGAAGGGAGCGGGCGGGAGGGAATGGCATAGACGGACGGAGAAGCGGGGCTGGCTCCAGTTGCTGGGTCCGAGTCGACGTTTAGAGGCGCGAGAGATAGGTTCATTTTGCCACGAATACTGCTGGTGCTGCTGGTGGCGCGAGCAGCTAAGTCATAATCTTCGGTACCGGCGCCAACAGCTATCCCCCCCAAACCTACGCTCAAACGCTCTTCCTTGTCTCCTCTGACAGGAGAGCCCAGCCAGCAGAACTCCTCCTCCTCCTCTTTCTCCTTCTCTTTCCCTCGCTGCCCCCTTTCCGCCCCGCCCGCCCCATTCTCCTCCGCAAACCGACTATAGGCCACCCGCCGATCCTCACTCCAGTCCCCTGGCTCGGCACTCCCGAACCTGCTGGACCCCTTCAACTCCCTCATAGAAGGGGAAGCAAGAGAGAAGGCCACTCTTCCAAAGCTCATAGCCTTACTTAGGGCCGGACCCGCTCTCTCGCTCTCCCTCTCTCGCGCCCTCCCTACGTCGCCTGCCCTTGCCTCATCGTTGGTTTGCCTGCAACTAGCGGCAGCAGGAGCGGCAGGGGACTCCCTTCTCCCCATGCTCATACTCATGCGAAGCGCTCTGCTGGCAGGGCTGTCGCTCCTCTCACTCTTCCTCCCCACCCCCTCCCGTCCTCCCCCTCCCTCCCCTTCTGCACCTCCCCCGCCCCCCGCGTCTCCCGCCCAAACCCCGCCCACCCACTTCCCAAACGCCCTCTTTTTCCCCTCCTCCCCCCTAGCCGCGCGCTCCCTATCCCTCTCCCTCTCTCTTTCCCGTCCCCTCTCCCGCGCCGCCAGCACCGCCTGCTCCACCTGCTGCTGCTCCCGCCGCTGCAGGCGCTGCTGTTGCGCAGCCCAGCGCTGCTTCACGCGCTCCCACGACTCTTCCTCCTCGTCGCCGTCCGATATCGCCTCCGCATCCATCTCGCGCCCGCCCCGCGCCAGGTGGCACGATCTCCGCGCTGCAAGCCGATCACGGACGTCCGAGATCTGCCGAGCGATTGAATCACTCTCCGCGTCCCTGCCAACCCCCATATAAGCTTCCTCGTCGTCGTCCTCTTCAAAGTCGTCCTCGATATCCTCTAGAGGGGCGATTTGGGACGAGAGGTCGGCTTCGTCCGGTTCTCTAGGGGAATCCTCGTTAAACGCCGCATCGTTATCGTCGTCGTCTGCTCTCATTGCTAATGCCAACCCTTCCTCGTCTATCTCCAACTTACTCTCCTCCTCCTCCTCCTCCTCCTCCTCTTCCTCCTCCTCTCCCTCCTCACAATGCAAGATACTATTAGAAGGCACGGACCTTAACGAACCCGAAGAATGCACCGATTTCATCGAGCCTGTGCTACTGACACGTGGCACAGGCGGCTTGCGCGCCGAACGGTAGCAGGCGCCGGTGTGCGTCCGACCCGAGCCGCTTCCCCCGTCGCTGTTGCCGCGGGAGGGGAGAGGGGGACGGGAGAGAGCGTGCGGGGGGGTGGCGGAGCCCGGGGGCGCTTTGAACCCCCTTCTAGTGGGAGCGCTTCCGCTCCGCAAGGCACGGCTTCCGCCCCCTGCGCTTTCTGCTCCATACTCCCCTGCCCCAGTGCCCCCAATGGTTTGTTTCAAACGCTGCTGCTGCGACTCGCTCTCTCTCGACCAATCGCTGTTCGTCTCGCTCCCCGCCTGCCAATCCGACCCCGGTGATACCATCTGCTCCTGCGGTGATGTGGATTGAGGCTCCGCTGACGTGGACGAGCTCTCAAGAGAGTTGTCGCAGGAGTCGCCATCCATGCGACTCATCTCTCGCTCCTTGTCGCCAGCTCGATCGCAAACTGTGATACTGGAAGCTCGGGATTCTCGAGGGACGTCGGGCATTGACTGTTCTGCAGCCTCTCCCGCTAGGAGGGCTATGGCGGCACCTTCCGCGGTCTTATCTTGTAGCGAGGGCTGGGAATCCTCCATAATCACCTCCACGCGTCGAACCCTGAAACCGCTAGCCGCTCCCGCTGCCGGCGCCGACGACTGCGGCGGCGCTGGAGAAACCTCGCCGAGGAGAAACACCGGCGGCGATGCGTCGCATGCGACGCTCTCGTCGTCGCCAGCGACGCGCAGCGACAGAGCGACGCGCGTGCCGACGAGATCGCCAGCTCTGTCGCTTTTCAGCAGCTTGAAGTGTACTCGCACCGAAGCGCTCATGCTGCTCGTCGCCGCCTCGACAGCCCTCGACCAATCAGCTTCGTAGAGCCCATCCGCCAAATCGTACAACCTTTTCTCGCCAAAATCCTCAGCGTTGGCGTAACCCAAGCCGCGCAACAACCCCCGGCTGACGTGCGCAATGCGACCTGAACGCGCCTCCAGCACCAGCTTCGGCTGTTCCGAACCTTCGACCTCCGACGCTACCCTTGCCGAAGCTATAGCATGCGGTGGTTCCGAACCACCGCCGGCGGCTTCACCGAAACCTGCGCCTGCTGCTTCGGAATGCAGCCCGGCAGGTTCGGCAGCAGGCCGAGCATTGAGCGGCAAGGAGGAGCTTCCCAATGGAGGGAGTCTCGTCTTGACGTCGCTTCCGGCATTTCCGCGAGAAAAGGAGGAGCGGGGAATGCCGCCACGTGGCGAGAGCAGGCGGGAGAGAGAAAAGGCTTTGTCGGAAGGTTCGAGGGAAGCTGAGTCGGCGAGTCGAGCATTGGTGATGGACTTGCGGAGATCAAGGGCCATTGCGGGGAGGAGAACTGAGGAAACCTATCGGCTCAAACACGATGAATCTTTCGCTCCTAGCGACACGACGCGCGTCTGTAGCTTTTAGAAAGATGTCCGGCTGTTGTTATGTCTGTGATGGATGAGAACAAACTGTCGGGGTTGATTGATTCAGGGATGTCAGTCCACAATGTGCTATGAGAGACGAGGGCAGGGTTGATTGATTCTTGCGCCGCGGCCAGGACGCTGAGCTGAACCATCAGTGAGCAAAAGCACGGGGCTGGAATCAGAATGTATGTGGCGAGGCGAGGCGAGGTGTGCAATGAAACACGAGCCAAGCAAGGGGAGGCGAATTCATGCTGCAGTGGCTGGCGGGTGCAATGCAATGGCGACGAAGGGCCACTCCTAGCTGAACTTCGGCACGGTGAGTTGCGTACAGTACAGGACAGTTAACTGTACAGTACGTTGATGCCGTTACAGAGATGAGCTCGACACACGCGACAAGGAGTTGGAGTTGAGGGCTCTGGCAGTTGGATAGAGCCAAGAGGCGGGTTAGAGGGAGCAGGGGTAAGGTGCCCCCCCCAAACAAAATGGCGGAGGGTCGGAGGGGGTTGGTTGCGACATGACAAGCGAAGGCGCTGTTTACAGCGCATGCTTTGGCCAGATGGAAGGACATGTCGGAAAACCCACCCGGCGCATGGCGGACGGGCCCTGCACGCGAGGGGGGAAGGAGAAAGAGGGGTGGGAAGAGATTATCAGAAGGTTGAAATGCCATCAAGTGCTCTTTAGTACGTTTTCTCATTCAAAACACTGAACCAACCAAATGCAAGGCGCAATCTGGTTCGAGGCGGGGGCAAATTGCTTCGAGTCGCGTGCGATGGAAGATGCTCGGCTGGCTGGTTGGTAGCGCGGCGAACTTGTGGCCGGGGAGTGAGGTGGTGGTACGGGGCAGTGCCACTCGAAATTGCTGGCGTGAACGCGAAGCAGCCCGAACTTTTGTACACCCAGACCTGCAGGATACAGGCAAACCAAAGCATTCCTAGATTGCGGAACTGCAGCTCATGTGAGGGAGTTGCGAGATTTCCTGCTGGATACGCAGTGCTGCTTGGAAGACCCAAGAAGGACTGAGGTGGGGAATGCTGCCCCTAAAATGTAATTCGGGAAACTGTGTGATGCCAAGAAGATGCTGTGGAGAAAAATGATGATCGTCCAGCCAATCAGCGCAGTCACAAATGTTGGCTTGGCGGGCAGGGCATAATAATCAACACAACAGACACCAACCAGGTCTAGCACAGGCATGGTATAAGCAGCACGTCTGCTCATTCTCGCCATGACAGCAGGATTTGCGTCGTGGATCTTCCTTGTGCTGCACTTTCAACTTTACTCAAATACCAGTATACTTGATCTCATAACTATTGATATGGAAATGGTATTCAAGTATTGACAACCAACCTCAAGATTTCCACAGGTGTAGCACAGACGATGATCTCAACCATTCCGCTGTGCTCTTGATACCACTTTCCGGCTGCTTCACTTAGCAAATTTTCGCCTATGACCCACCGAACATGGACCTATCCTTGTCACCACAGAGCAGGTTTGCCGCCTACACTCCTATTCTCCATGTACTACCCTACTAGCAAGAGCATGAATCCAACGCATGCTCCACGTTGCAGGTAGAGGTACCCTGCACGATTCCTCACCATGTTCCTACATCGCCAAAGCTCAAATCAGACTCACCACTCTCTCCTTCCCAACACCCTATCCTGCCATCCCCACTGCCATCATCGCCCCCCTGCTTCATGCTGCCCTCTTCAGCTCCCTCCATCATCACATCCTCACCCCGCCCTCGCTCCTCCCTCCCTCCAGGGGTTGTGCAGATGACAAAATCAACCGCCATAGTATGTCCTCCGCCCATATCAGCTGCCATCTCTCCTCCACCCATATCAACTGCCATCTCTCCTCCACCCATATCAACTGCCACCTCTCCTCCCGTATTAGTCGCCGTACCCCCTCCCCACTGTCCCCCATCCATCTCCTTAAACCCGACATCCATTACGGTATCTACCGAACCTACCATAGCCTCAGCCCCATGCTCCATAAACCCATCTAGGCTCGCCCGCCCCTCCCCAGCCTGCCCTCTGTCCTCCCATGGTCTTTCTGCCCCCTCCCCATCACTTCTCTTCGCCACTGGCCCTCCCACCCCTGCCAAACCAGTTGCAATCGGTGCAGACGCAACCGGGCTCACCACATTAACAGACAAACTACTCCGCCCCTTCATCCCACTGCGCACCGCCGCCCCCACCTCCCGTTTGATAGTACCCCAGTGCCCGTCAATATTCCCCGAGAAGCTTCTTGCGAGCTTCCCCACCCCCCTCGTGGCCCTTTCCACATTCCTTGCCGGCTTCTCAAGCATGTTTGGCAGGCGGGGCGTGGGAGGTAGAACCCGGGAAGGCCGATCTGGGACGGGCGGAACCCCTCCTGTTGACACAGCAGCAGCCGCTGCTGATAGCTTATCGGCAGCTGGGCCTAACCCCGACCCCTTGGAGCTTAGAGACCTCCGCATCTGCCCCCGGGGAGACGGAGCATCCCCACTAGAAGGTCCCCCGCTACCTGTTACAACCTTCAGCCCCGTCCCAAACTTCTGCAGTAGCTTCTTTGCACCCCTCGCATTCGACAGCCCAGGCCTCCCTTGGCCTTCCACACCCGACCCTACACCCTCCTCCCCGCCTCTCAACTCCATCTCCCCAACCTCCCCCTCCCCCTCTGCCTCCCTCCCTTCCGCCACATCCCTCCCATCCAACCCCCCCCTCCCACCACCAGCAACCCCCCCCCCTGCTCCCGCTTCCTCTGCCGCGATTTTCTGCCGCTCCGCCTCCCAGTCGCGGCCAAACGCCGCACCTCCCTCGGACAAATTCCGGCGGAAGAACATCTTGGAGGGCACACCAATGCGGGACGCGCGGCGCTCCTTGGCAGTGGGATCCGACTGCGGCGCGTTCTTGCCGCTGCTGCGAAAGAACCCCGGGGACGGCAGGCCGTCCCTCACGGAAGGGCCATCTTGAGACGCCATTCTCGCATGGTGCGCTGTGGGCTTGGGGTCTCTCCTCCGCCTCCACCGCTCCGCCGCTGCTGCTGACACCTGCAGAGGGCCGCTGGCCACCCTGCGGCTGAGCTCCTTGGCGTCTACTGTGCCGGGGATCCCGCTGCTGGGGTGCACGGGGCTGTCACTGGCGATCCTGGGGAGGTGGGAGAGGCTCAGACTGTCGCCCTGTGAGAGCGGAGCCTGCCGGGCTGAGGGGCTCTCGTCCTGTGAGGCTGGACTCGCTTGACTTGCTTGACTGAATTGACTGCCCAGGGGCGACCAGCCTGGCTGGGAGCTACTGGAGGCGTCAAAGCGGCTGCCACTGCTGGTCCTGCCTGGGATTAGAGCAGTGTCCCCTGCCTCGACTGCTACTGTGGCCATGTCCCTTGCCTCGCCTGCCCCTTCTCCTTCCCGTCTCTCTTCGCCCCCATTCACCTGGCCTGCCGTGTGCCCTCGCGCTTCCTCTCCCTGTGCCCCAGCCTCCTCCCCGTCATCCATAACCACCTCGTCACCCTCCCCTCCCCTCGTATCCAACTGCGCCACCTCCCCTTCCCCACCCATCCGCGCAAGCAGCCCATCCTTATCCGCCCCTTCCCCCTCTCCCTCTCCCTCCCCCTCCCCCTCCCCCTCACCCTCCTCCGCCACCCCCTTCCCTTCCCCTTCTCCCCCCCCCTCCCCACCGCCCGCCCCTCGCCCTGTACTGCGCTGACGTGGCTCCTCAAAGATCTCGATGGTGGGCGGCTGCGTGCAGTACACAAAGGCTTTAAGCGCCGCACTGCCGCCTTCCCTCAGGGGATCCTGCTGCTTGCGCTCGATCAGCACCCGCAGCAGGTCCATCACCTTCACGGCGTGCCTTAGCCCCATTATGGGGTCTAGTACCTGGGTGGGGGGAGGATGAGAACGAAAGAAGTGAACGCTTGCTGCCTGTACTCGCCTCTTACTGCCTAGTGTTCACATCCCCTCAAAATACATGAACCTCCCATCCCCTCTTCACCTCACTCTCGCCTCAATGCCCGCTCACCAGCGCCATGTTGGGCGCCATGCCAGCACCACGGCCCGTTCCGCACGTCCATCTGGTTCCTCCCCGAACTGCGCCACGCCACCCGCTTTCAGAAAGGTCCCTACCGCTATGGCCCCTAATCCCAAAGTCCCCCACAATGCTAGGCGCGAGCACCACCATGGCACGCTCCGCGCGTTCATCGTGCCCCTCTCCTCTCTTCTCCCTCATGTGAGTCCACGTGCTTCGCACGCTGCTTGCTCGCGGTCAGTGTGCTCGCAGCAACCCACCTGCGCCGTGTTAGGCGGCGCAAGCACCATGGCTATTTTTCTCGCGTCCATATGGTCGCGCTGCTTGAACTGCACCACGTCCGCCATGAGCCCCACCAGCAGCATGCTGTCTTCCCCCTTGCCTCTCAAGCCAACCCAACCACCCATTGTTCCTGCCCATTCCCACGCACCTGCGTCATGTTGGGTGCGAACACCATGGCGATGTTCCGCGCGTTCATCTTGTTGCGCTCCTCGAACTGCACCACGTCCGCCATGAGCCCCACCACCCAGTCCAGCAGCATGCTCTGCGTCTCCGGCAGCCCCTCCACCAGCGCCACCATCTGCTCCTCCGTCTCACACGCCGCCACCACCTCCACTGGCAGGCTGTCTAACAGGCCTTGGGGTAGCTCGCGGAACCACGCCTGGTGGTTGAATGGGGTAAGGGAGACGGGGGGTGGGGGAGAGGTGAGTCCAGCAGCATGCTCTGCGTGTCGGGCAACCCCTCCACCAGCGCCACCATCTGCTCCTCCGTCTAACACGCCGCCACCACCTCGACCGGTAGGGAGTCCAGTAGACCTTGTGGTAGCTCGCGGAACCACGCCTGGTGGGTGAGGGGGAGGATAAGACGGCGGGGAAGGATGAGTCCAGCAGCATGCTCTGCGTGTCGGGCAGCCCCTCCACCAGCGCCACCATCTGCTCTGCGTGTCCAGCAGCATGCTCTGTGTGTCGGGATAAGATGTTGGCCTGCTCGCCTTGCCACGGGATGGCAGGCAAGCCGTTCCTCGCTCGTATGACTCATCTTAATAAGGAAAAAAAAACGAGATGATGCATTTCCTGGCTCCCACCACTCACTTTGATCAGCCCTGCCAGCGCGTGCACGTTGATGCTCTGCGGCACGAGCCCCACGTTGATCTGATTGGCTTAGTCATGCATGATGGCACCCCTTTCCTTGCCCTGAACACTCACCCCAGTATGGGAAACACCCCTCTCCTGACTCCCACCACTCACTTTGATGAGCCCTGCCAGCGCGTGCACGTTGATGCTCTGCGGCACGAGCCCCATGTTGACCTGATCGCGGATCTCGTCCTCGTGGTCGTTCTCCGCCGCCACGCGGAATATGCCCTCCGTCTGAGAGCGCGAGGGGAGAGCGGAGGACATGGGGCGGGGGGGCCGGGGGGGAGGAAGGGGGGAGGAGGGGGGAGGATGGGGGAGGAGGGGGAAGGAGGGGGGGAGGAGGGGGAAGGAGGGGGGGGGGTTGATTGGGCGAGGATGGGAAATCTTTATTCGGATTAAGAGACGAAATACGCTTCGAGAGAAAAAAGGCGAAAAGAAGGGGGTTCCGACAAAAAACCGGGGAGCGGGCGAAGAGGCGTACCTGGAGGCCCTTTTTGACGTATAGCAGCGCCTGCAGCTGCAGCAGAATGTTGGGCACGCTGTTGCCGAACTCGTCCTGCGAGCACTGCAGCAGCTCTGGCTGCACGCCGAACACGGACCGCCTGGGGGGTCACGGGGGGGGGGGGGGGGGGGGGGGGGGGGGGGAGGGAGGGGGGAGAAAGGGAAAATAGGTATAAGAGAGCACTGCAGCAGCTCCGGTTGCGCGCCGAACACGGACCGCCTAGTGGGGAAGGTGGGGAGAGGGAGGCACGGGGGGGCAGAGACGGGGATTCAGGAAGAAAGCTGTATCAGAGAGAGGTCAGCAGCTCCGGTTGCGCGCCGAACACGGACCGCCTAGTGGGGAAGGTGGGGAGAGGGAGGCACGGGGGGGCAGAGACGGGGATTCAGGAAGAAAGCTGTATCAGAGAGAGGTCAGCAGCTCCGGTTGCGCGCCGAACACGGACCGCCTAGTGGGGAAGGTGGGGAGAGGGAGGCACGGGGGGGCAGAGACGGGGATTCAGGAAGAAAGCTGTATCAGAGAGAGGTCAGCAGCTCCGGTTGCGCGCCGAACACGGACCGCCTAGTGGGGAAGGTGGGGAGAGGGAGGCACGGGGGGGCAGAGACGGGGATTCAGGAAGAAAGCTGTATCAGAGAGAGGTCAGCAGCTCCGGTTGCGCGCCGAACACGGACCGCGTGAGGGGACGCGGAAAGAGGGGGGCAGGGGGGGAAGGCGGAGGAAAGGCATAGAGAAAATTTTTGAGGCGCCTCAAAAATAGACTCCTCACGCATTTGAGGCGCCTCAAAAATAGACTCCTCACGAAGGCATGGAGAAAGGAAAAAACGAGCCTGCTGCTTTAGGTTGCGACGAAGGGGGCAGGGGGGTGGATCGTGAGAAACGAGCCTTTCATGAGAGAGAGAGAGAGAGAGAGAGAGAGAGAGAGAGAGAGAGAGAGAGAGAGAGAGAGAGAGAGAGTGAGAGAGAGAGAGCGAGAGAGAGAGAGAGAGAGAGAGAGAGAGAGAGAGAGAGAGAGAGAGAGAGAGAGAGAGAGAGAGACGCGGGACAAGAAGGCAACGGAGCGCACAATGGAGAGTTTCTCGTTGCGCCACCTTCCGTTCCCCCACCCCCTTTTCCTTTCCTTCCGCGTCTCCTCTCTCCTTCCACGCCCTTCTCCGTTCTATCGCAACCAACCCGGCGCTGAACGCGCAGCACGGCAGTGCGCCCTCGGCGTCTCCGGGGAGCCCCAGGAAGCCCTTGCCTTCAGCCGCGAGCACGTTGGGTACTCTCTGACTGGACCTAGCCCCGTCCGCATCCCTTCTCCCCGCACCTTTTCCACCCCAGACCGTTACGTACCCGGCGCTGGGCGCGCGGCACGGCAGCTCGCCCTCGATGTCTTCGGGGAGGCCCAGGAAGCCCTTGAAGCGGTCGAACGTGACGTGCGCCACGTGCTTCACATCGGTTGGCTCGCCGATCTCCAGTGGATGCGCGTCGTCGTCATCGTCTGAGGGAGACGGTGGGCGGGACGGGGAGGTGAATAACAACATTGTAAATTTCGTCTTTTATGAACGCTGACTTAAGCGCGGACGCAACGCCACGGGTTTAACGTCCGTCGGCCCGCGATCTCAAAGGGATGCGAGTCGTCGTCATCGTTTGCGATACGGAGGACGGCAGACAGACGGTAACAGCCGGCAGACAGACGGCAACAGACGGCAGACGGCAGACACACACGGTGAACGGCAGACAGACGGTGGAGGGGAAACAGACGGCGGCCAAAGAGCAGTTCAACCACAAGCGAGGGGAACCAGGGATGCGAGGAGCCTTCTGACAAGCAACGACAGCGAGTGACGGCGTCAAGGAGTAGGGGGTAATTGTCAGGTTTGAGTCTGGTTAACTAAGAAGCCGGCTCGACTCAACGGCAGCGGCGAGAGTGCGGTTAGGCGGCTTCAATCAGAGGCTAAAAAAGATGTCAATCTTCACGCATCGTTCGGACTACTGCAAGACTAGACGTAGATCAGGGAACGGGGACGAACGGCATGCACGAACGGAAGGGTCGAACCCGAAAACGCCGTCAGACCGAGCAAACCGGTCAGAACTAACGGAAGGACATCTTTGCATTGCCGGAGAACAAGAGTTACATTCGCAGCGCATGCTGAAACGCTTATAATGTAACGATCATGTTTATAATGTAACGAGAACGGCGACCACGTCTCGCGAAAAGGCTGCAGGGATAAGATGCGATGGCCTGCACGAGCTTTCAAGGGTCTCCACTCGACGAAAATGCCACTAACTGGCTGTTGAAAGAGACATCCGCTTTGCGCTTTGCACTAATCGCACACTCGAAGAAACTAGGGGTCGCGGCAGAACCAAAAACAAGGAAGCAAAACGGCTAAAAATCAGACGTGGAGTTCGTCGAGCGACAAGTAGCGCTTTTCTCCCTTCACCAAGCCTGCCCTGACAGCACGACCATCACGTACCACGATCTCTCTGCTTGCCAATGCGACCGAGGCTCTTAACTACGCCCTTAAAACTGCCGTTTATGACGTCCATCCCATGCGCTGTCGGAAACCCTAACCGTCGGCGTGGGCAAGCGAACTCAACAGATCAGGCGACGAGGAGATTGACTACTGAAGAGCTGCCATGGCTAGGGTTGGTTGAGACTGGGAGGGAAAAAAAGTGTCGGTGGGGGAAGACAGGGAGGAATGGGGGGGAGGGGGATGACATGACAGGCAGGGCGGGGGAGGGATATGGAGGGAGGGCCTAGCCTAGGGGAATGCGGGCGAGAACGTTCTTATTTGAACACTCTCCTTTCGCATAAATCACTCCCTGCACCTGAATGACAGCCTTGGGGTTGCCGAAGTGATAGTAGCGAAGGGACTGTATCTCGGTTGTGCTGCTGCTGGTGTTGGTGTGCTCCCAGCTCCCACCACTTGCTCTGGGGAGGCCAGTTGCTGGGCCAGTTGGCCGTAGTAAGGAGGCTAAGCGCTGTAAGGAGGTCCGGCAATATTGAAGGTGAATACACCTACTATACATCTGTTCTCTCTTCACCATGAAAAACATCCCTGCTACAAAAAACCAACTCTACACCATCAATACACTAACATGACATCCATCAACTACCACTCTCCATGCGCTAATGAGATGACCGGGCTCTTGGCTCTACCACTAGTAATGCTGATGAATTGTATGATCCTATTCCCATTACCAATCAGTATTGTAAATTTGTAACGGAGTAGTTGCACTGAGAAGCCAGCATAAGGTTAATAAGGCTAGACTCCACAGAGGCACGCAAATCCCTGACCTCCGTCCTCTTCTGGGATTGGCTTTTGGGATCCCACTTGGGCTCATCCCCGTACCAATAATGATGTCAGTGTCGATATTGCTTCGTAATGTCAAGAACCTCCTTAGTATCTGTAGAAATCCACATGTAGAGTAGCGACGGGTCATGCACCCTCAGCAGCATAGCAGCCTTCATCCAAGTAGCCACTGGCTCTGCCATTCCCAATTTTATCTTATCTCCTTAGCGCACGTGCATATGGACTAATGGCCTATGAACATACGGCTCCCCTCCCAGCCAATCTCGCATTGCCACGTCATATATAAGTGCATAATTCGCCTTCCGGTTGTCAAAGGACGGAGAATCGAGGGCAGATGGGAAGGAGGATAGGCTGTCTTCTGCAATAGTCTGGTGTTAGAATACGTGAATGATTACTAGAAGGAGAAACCTAGAACATATACCTGTTGGGTTGTACTCACTAGAAGCACACAACTAGTCTAGCCTATAACTTCTACATAGAACATATGTATAAGTTGACACACCCCCTAGGCTAGATAAGGGGTGGTGCTAAGCAAGAAGCACACAGCTCAGGGTGGCACTACTAATCCAACCACTGAGGCAGGGGTCCGGAGACCAGTCAGCAAGAGTACAAACAAGACTAAAGCAAGCCAGGGCGGCACTACTAGTCCAGCCACTGGAGGTAAGGCCACAAGGCCAGTCAGACAGGTATATATAGTAGAGAATACACAATCATGGCCCTAGCAAATGAGAAGCTACAGGAACAAGACCAAGCTGTACACAGTGCCGCTGATGATCTTTAGGCGCAAGCGCCTTAGTAAAGATATCAGCTGTGTTGGCATTAGAGGCCAAGTGAAATACACGGGCCTGGCGACGCTGCTGTAACTTGCGCAGGAGGAAGTACCGCACCTGGATATGCTTCGCTCTGCCCTCAAGCCGAGGCTCCTGACACAGGAGGATCATGGCCCTGTTGTCAGCGTACAGGACCGGGGCAGAGCTGGGCCGCTCACCTAAGTCAGTGAGCAAGAAAGTCAGCCAGCGGAGCTCCTGTGCCGCCATGGCACCAGCGTAGATCTCAGCCTTACAGCTGGACTGAGCAACAGACGACGAGCGAGTGGATCTCCAAGAGATAGCACCCGAACCAAGGCTAAAACAGTAGCCCTGAGACGACCTGAGAATCTCAGAGTCGTCTGCCCAAGAAGCGTCTGTGTGCCCAGTGAGAACCACCGGCCTGCGTCCTCCTAGCACTAACCCCATGCCCGATGTACTTGCTAGATATCGCAAAACCCTCTTAGCGACCGACCTGTGTTGTGGCCGGTGTCTGCCAGTGGCCACAAAGCGAGCCAGGATGTTGAGAGGGTATGCAAGATCTGGGCGAGTGCAAGTCATCAGGTACATGAGGCAACCCACGAGCTCAACGTAGGGTCAACTGGGCTCTACTGGCTCCGAAGGAACTGGAGCAGAGATCACATGGTCTACAGGTAGAGGTGTGGGCTGTGCGGAGGAGAACTGAAGACCGAACCTCTGAAGGACCTGACGCACCAAGTGTGACTGTGTCAGAGTGATGGTGCGTGCTGCTCTGTCCTTGGAGAACTGCAGGCCAAGATAGCGACGCAGCTCTCCAAGGTCAGTGCAGGTGTGTCTCTTCAGCAGCTCGGCCTTCACAGAGGCCAGAGCGTCCCTGTCAGCAGTAGCAAAGACCAGGTCGTCTACGTAGACAAGGATGTAGAACGGATTTTGGCTGGAACGCACAAACAGCGAGGGGTCAGCAGAGGACGGAAAGAACTGCAGGTCTGCTAACGTGGCACGCAGCGTGTCGTGCCACTCGCGAGGAGCCTGACGCAGGCCGTAGACCGGGCGCCGAAGAAGCCACTGGGTCCCAGGGGAGAAGGTACCAGTGAAGCCCTGAGGTCGACGTAGGTAGACCACCTCGTGTAGGCTGCCCTGAAGAAAGGCAGTAGAGAAGTCGAGGGAGTGAAGCTCGTAGTCGCGCTGTGCTGCTACGTATAGCAGCGCCCGAAGAGTGGTCATCTTCGGGGTCGGGGCGAAGGTCCGGAAGAAGTCAACCCCCTCGCGCTGGCTGAAGCCTCTGGCCACGTAGCGCGCCTTGAAGACAGGCGGCTCTCCAGGGGGGCGCTTCACCTTGAAGAGCCACCGACCATCGACTACGTTCACCCCAAGCAGGGGAACTGCGTCGACGTAAGTGCCGGTGGACCTCCAAGATGCCATCTCCTGCTCCATGGCAGCAATCCACTGAGAGGCCCAGGGTCCCGAGGTGGCCTCAGCGTAGGTGCGAGGGGTCGGGATGTCGAAGGCGTCTGGGTCACCCTCTGGGACTAGCAGCATGGAGCAGAGATGGGGAGCGGCCTCGGAAAGGAAAGCAAGCCCGTACTGCCTGTCCTCTAGTACGTCATTGCCAAAGGCAGGTGCACCACCGACGGGCGCAGGACGGGCATGGTCAGAGACCAGAGCGGTAGCGTAGTCAAGGCGGCGGGTAGTGGCAAAGTCAGTGACAGCAGCAACAAGCGCGTCAAGGCAGGAGACAGGAACAGACAAGTCTGTAACAAGAGAGGCAAGGACCCGAGGGACAAGGGCACTAGCGCCACGGAGGCAGTCAGACAGCGGGGGAGGTGTAACAATGAGCGACGAGGGAGGAGGCGAGGGGAGGAGGGGAGGACGAGACGAGTGAGAACGGAGTAACATAGGATGGGAGCACGGGAAAGGGGAGACGGGACGAACACGGGAGGGACGGCGAGACCAAACGTGGGACGGAGGTGTAGGGTCAGGAGACAGCGCAGGTAACACAAGGGGGGAACGAGGAGGAAGACGGGCCGGAGAAGAGTCCGGGGGTGGGAACACAGGGCCGTAGGCAGGAAAGTGAGGAGGAGGTGGGGGAGACACCGGCGAGCGGTCAGGGGAGGGAAGGCCGAGCAGGCGAAGAGCGGAGACCGGCGGCGACGACTGCGGCGGCTGATGCGGCGGCTGGTGCTCGACCCTCAAACCGGCAGGGGCACGACGACCGCCGGGAGAACACTCAACAGCACCACCCCCAGAACCAACACCCCCAGAGCGAGAACCCACTCCAGCCCCAGCTGCACCCCCTGGCTCACCGGAACAGACCACACCAGGAGCCGCAGGACGAACACCCTCCTCAGCGCCAGCACCCCCAGAAGCCAAGAGCGGCGGCGGCGACTGTGACAGCAGGGGTGGAGACACCAGGGAAGGGGGACGCGACAAAGGCGGGGCGGGGGGACAACCAGAGTCAGCAAACTCCTCAACCGGGACAACTGACGGGAGGGGAGTGACATGGGAGACACCAGACGGAGCAGGACGCAGCGGGAGGGGAGGATGGGCTACTGGGGGAGAGGGGGCAAGGAACAGGGGGGGGGAAACCGGGAGACCTCGGTGAGGGAAGCGACGGTAGAAGGAGACGGACTCGTCAAAGGTGACGTCACGAGAGTGGAGGAAGCGGTGAGACAGCGGGTGGTAGAAAAGCCAGTTAGACGAGTCCAGGGGGAAACCAAGGAAGACACAGGGGACAGTGCGGGCAGTGAGCGTGTCCGTGCCAGAGGCACAAACGTGAGCAAGGCAGCCCCAGACGTGGAACGCAGACGCGTCACTGGGGGACCCGGTCCAAAGGAGGGTCGGCGAAACCTGCGGCCGCTGGGAGCGTGGCCACAGGTTAAGCTGGTGAGCGGCGTAGCGAACGGCGAACGGCCACAGAAAATGGGGTGCACCGGCATGGATCATGGAGGTACGAGCCACCTCCATGACCAAGCCGATGCGGCGCTCAGCAACCCCATTCTGCTGTGGCGAGTCCGGCAAGGTGTACGACTGGGTGATGCCCTCCGCACGACAGAACTGTCCAAGCCGACCAGAAGCGAACTCTCCGCCACGGTCAGAGTGGAGACACAACACGGGGAGACCGCAGTGAAGACGCGCAGCCACAACCCACGGGAGAAGAACGTCGGGCACATCTGCCTTCCGCTCCAGGGGAAACACCGTGGTGTAGCGCGTGTAGTCGTCGACGAGCACAAGAAAGTAGCGCTCGCCACGCGGTCCAGGGACGGGGGCTGGGCCCCAAACGTCCAGGTGCAGGGTCTGAAGGGGAGCAGTAGCAGGGCGAAGCGAGGAGGAGTGAGGGGCACGGCAGAGCCGGCCCTCGACGCAGGGCGTGCACGGTGGAGCACGCAAGAGGGGAAGGGTGGGGAGCGATGCGGGGAGGCCTAAGACAAGACCGTGCTGGGACATGTGACGTAGACGCGGGAGTGCAGAGTGACATAGGCGGTGGTGCCACAAAAGGGACGGGTGAGTGAGGGACCGACACGAGCAAGCTGCAGCGACCTGGGAGGACGCACCAACCGGGGGGGAAGCGGTGTCTAGGGTGAACAG